CCGGATCTTGGACAGGCAGCCCTCCGCCGCCCAAGAGTGGGGCCTCTCCCTGTCCACGCCCCTCCGCCTCCCCTCCGACTTCCCGCCCACGCAAGCTGTTTCTGCAGGCCAGCTGGCACCAGGCAGGTGGCTGATTGCCAGGTGAGCACCGGCGCATGGCAGCGTAGGGACAGAGCCCAGTCGAACCGGTGAAGCCCCGCCTACACCAATGGTGGCCCGCTGGGCGCACCAGAGCGGCTGCTCGACGGTGGCTTCGGTCGTGCGACAGTCTCTCCCCGAGGGGCAAGAGTCCATGACACAAAACTTCTGTGTGCAATTACATGCCACTTCACCAGGATGCCTCGGGGCTGTGGCGGGGCCTCACACAGGCAGTTTGCAGGCTTGGGCGGCAGGATACGGTCATCCGAACCGCACGTATTCGCGAGTCACCTGTGGCTGGTGAACAGCCTGACCCAGAGAGGAGGGGCCTGGGACCTATTGGGAGGGGCAAGAGGCACCCTCGCCAGGCCGCTCTAGTTTGCGTTCTCAAGCGATCCTCCTGCCTCAGCCTCCCGAGTAGCTGGGACCGCAGGCATGCGCCACCATGCCTGGCTAATTTTTTCTATATATTTTTAGTTGGCCAATTAATTTCTTTCTATTTATAGTAGAGACGGGGCCTCACTCTTGCTCAGGCTGGTTTCGAGCTCCTGACCTTGAGCAATCCGCCCGCCTTGGCCTCCCAGAGTGCTAGGATTACAGGTGTGAGCCACCTCGCCCGGCCGCCGATTTCTTCTTAATGTCCCAATGTCTCTTCCAGGGACACGTCGGGGCAGGGAAGGTTCTGCACCATCTTCCGCTCCTACTCTCGGGGCGCACAGGTAACAGCCTCCCCTGAGCCCGGAGATCACGCGGCCTTGGCGATGCTTAGCTAGCCCTCCCCTTCCCTGGACGGTTGGAGGATCAGGGAATTCAGCCCATGTAGGCACCGATGGCAGAGTCTAAAGACGAGCTGTAGGGCAGCGGCCCCCCCCCTTCGGGCACCAGGGGCCGGTTTCCTGGAAGACAATTTTTCCATGGATGGAGGGGAGGGTTTGGGAGGACTCAAGCGCATGACAGTTACTGTGCAGTCAGACCCCTCTGCTAGTGACAGTCTGCATTTGCAGCCGCTCCCAGCGCTGGCATCACCGCCCCAGCCCCACCTCCGATCGCCAGGCATTAGGGTCTCATGAGGAGCCGCAGCCCGGATCCCTCCCGCGTGCGGTTCACCGTAGGTCTGTGCTCTCCTGTGAGCATCTAATGCCCCGCTGGTCTGGCAGGAGGCGGAATTCAGGCGCCCACTCGAGTGACAGGGAGCAGCCGTATTCGTGACGCTTCCCTGTCGCTCGCCTCCTGCTGTGCGGCTGGTTCCTAGCAGGCCACGGACCGGTCCTTGGGCCAGGGTTGGGGACGGCAGCTGCAGAGTGTTACTTTGCTCGAAAGCCTTCTTTGGCATCAGGAATATATGCATGTGTGTGTGTGTGTGTGCATGCATAAAACACACGCACAGATATATGCACTATGTATGCACGTGTGTCTGTGCATGAGTGCCTGCATATGTGTGTACGTGTGTGAGTGCATGTAGACATGCATGTGTGTGCATGTATGAAACATGCACACGGATATATCACTGTGTATGCATGTGTGTCTGTGCATGAGTGCCTGCATATGTGTGTATGTGTGTGAGTGCATGTAGACACACATGTCTGTGCATGAGTGTCTGCATACATGTGTATTGTGTGAGTACATGTAGACATGCATGTGTGTGCATGTGTGCGTGTGGGCATGCAGGTGCATGTCTATACCTGTGTGCATGTGCACATATGAACTGCATGTGTGTGCACGTGTATGCATCCATGCAGGTAGGGGGGCCTTGCTTCGCATGAGGTGGTGACTCCTGCAGGGCCCCTGCTTTCTCCGTCCCTGGAGTAGCTCGCGGCTGTGAGTCCTGGTCCCCAACTCCCCCCGGACACAAAACTGCAGTAAAATGATCATTTCGTCAGTCGTGTGTCTCTGACGGAACAGCCCGCACGCCGGTGGCACATCTGTGTGCTGCATGCTGAGCCTGTGTCCTGTCTCCGCAGGGCGTGATCCTGGTCTACGACATCGCAAACCGCTGGTCTTTCGACGGCATCAATCGCTGGATTAAGGAGATTGACGAGGTACGACGCCGGTGCTGCCGCCCCCGCCCCACGTGGGCTCAGGACGTCGTCGGGCTGGGGACTCGGCCAGGCTCAGGCAGGGGCTCGGGCACAAGGAGGGTGTGTCACCGCTCGGCACAGCGCTGGCCGGGCTGGGCCACGAGCGGCTGCTGTGACGAGTGATCACAGACTGGGGCCTTGAAACAACAGGAATTTATTCCCCCAGCTACTGGGTTTCCTCGAAAATAAGACAGGGTCTTTTTTTTTTTTTTTTTTCTTTTTTGAGACAGAGTTTTGTTGCTCACTTTGTTGCCCAGGCTACAGTGAGTGCCGTGGCCTCAGCCTAGCTCACAGGAACCTCAAAATCCTGGGCTCAAGCGATCCTCCTGCCTCAGCCTCCCGAGTAGCTGGGACTTTTTCTATATATATTAGTTGGCCAATTAATTTCTTTCTATTTATAGTAGAGACGGGGTCTCGCTCTTGCTCAGGCTGGTTTCGAACTCCTGACCTTGAATAATCCGCCCGCCTTGGCCTCCCAGAGTGCTAGGATTACAGGCGTGAGCCACCTCGCCCGGCCTAAGACAGGGTCTTATATTTAGTTTCCCACAAGATGATACCCTAGGGCTTATTTTTAGGGGATGTGTTATTTTCCCCTCAAAGCCTCAGCTTGCAGCACGCAAAGGATGGCCGGGACCTGACGGGGGGAGCCGACCTTGTTGGTGGGGCTGCCCGCACCTTTCCGGTCACCTCTGGGATAGTAGCTGTCACGATGGGGCAAATGAGAAGGGCTGCTTGTCGTCTTTACTCCTCTGCAACGAAATGCATGGGTTGTGCAGATGTGCTGCATAACCACGCCCATCACTAGGTAGGGCTTCTATTGCGCAAATGCTTAGAAATCCTGCTAGGGCTTATTTTATGGGTAGGTCTTATTTTCAGGGAAACACAGCACAGAGGCCAGAAGTCAAACCCAGGTGCTGGCCAGGCCGCCTTCTGCCAGGGCTCTGGGGTGGGGGCGGGGGGGGGGAGTCCTCGTTGCCTCCCCAACTGCGGTGGTCCTTGGCGGCCCTTGGTCTGTGGCTGGGTCACTGTGGCCTCTGCCCCGTCCCCATGTGTCTCCGTGTCTCCCCTGATGAGGACACCAGGCATCAGACTGGGGCCCCCCTAACCCAGTGTGACCCCCCTCTCAACTAATCACATCTGTGCAGACCCCATTTCCAAATAAGAGCTCATTCTTTTCTAAATTTATTCTTAAAACTATGTTATTTTACTTTAGTAGATTTAGGGGGCACAAGCTGAAGGACAGTGGCAGGGTCTGGGTCGTGCCCTGCGGGAACTTTGCACCCCCAGCCCCCGGGGGGTCCCCAGGGCCCGTCACGCCCCTCTCCGCGCCTGCTGCCGATTAAGGCCCTGGTCTGCGGCTCTGCGTGGAGCTGACTCTGGGGGGACACCAGTCAACCTGGAGCCCCCCCAGGCCACCAGGAGAAAGTCTGACCCGAGTAACGCGTTTTCCTTGCCTTTCTCTTGCCCGCAGCACGCCCCCGGGGTCCCCAAGATCCTGGTGGGGAACCGCCTCCACCTGGCGTTCAAGCGGCAGGTGCCCACGGAGCAGGCGCAGGCCTACGCAGAGCGCCTGGGTGTGACCTTCTTCGAGGTCAGCCCGCTCTGCAACTTCAACGTCACCGAGTCCTTCACGGAGCTGGCCAGGACCGTGCTGCTGCGGCACGGTATGGACCGGCTCCGGAGGCCCAGCAAAGGTAGGCGGCGGTGTTGCGGGGGCCTGAGTCCGCCCCGCCGGGCGCAGGCTGGTCCCGCAGCCCCCCGACAAGTGTCTGCCCCCCCCCGCATGCATCCTAAGGCCACTGAGAGAAATAAAACACGTTCTGGGCCTGGCGCGGTGGCTCACACCTGCAATCCTAGCACTCTGGGAGGCCAAGGCGGGAGGATCACTCAAGGTCAGGAGTTCGAGACCAGCCTGAGCAAGAGTGAGACCCCCGTCTCTACTAAAAATAGAAAGAAATTAATTGGCCAACTAAAAATATATAGAAAAAATTAGCCGGGCATGGTGGCGCATGCCTGTAGTCCCAGCTATTTGGGAGGCTGAGGCAGGAAGATTGCTTGAGCCCAGGAGTTTGAGGTTGCTGTGAGCTTGGCTGATGCTACGGCACTCACTCTAGCCTGGGCAACAGAGTGAGACTATCTCAAAAAAAAAAAAGAAAGAAAAGAAAAGAAAAGAAAGGAAAGAAAGAAAGGAAAGAAAGGAAGAAAGGAAGGAACGGAAGGAAAGGAAGAAAGGAAGAAAGAAAGAAAGAAAGAAAACACGTTTCTGAATGTACAGCTTTGCCAGAAAGCTCAGGAGGGGGATCTGTGGAATCCGCACTTGGGCAGAGGTGAAGTGGTGCGGGGTTTGCTGCATGTGTCACAGGCGTCCCCAGAGTCCCCACAGGGAGGGAAGCCAGGTGTGCACGCTGCCCCCCCACCCCCCAGGCAGCCCCACGCAGGGACGGGCTGCACTGAGCCGGGTCTTTTCTCCCCCAAGTGCTGAGCCTGCAGGACCTGTGCTGCCGCGCGGTGGTGTCCTGCACGCCCGCCCACCTGGTGGACACGCTGCCGCTGCCCCCCGCCCTGCGGAGCCACCTCAAGTCCTTCTGCATGGCCAACGGGCTCAGCGCCAGGATGACCCCCGGCCGCGTCTACTCGCTGGCTGCTGCCCACAAAAGGAACAGCTTCTGCAAGGGGAAGGGCGCCCGCCCTCCCCAGAGTCCTCCCAAAAACTGCTCCAGAAACAGCTGCAAAATCTCCTAAGGGGACACGCCGGAACCTCCCCAGGGGGGCTCTGGACAGTCACGCCCAGGAGGCAGCCACGCGTCCTGGGTCCGGGAAACACGTTTCCGGCGTCTCCCGGAGACAGCGCTGCGTGGGAACGCCTGTGGCGCCTCCCGTGCGGCGGGAGCCCTTTGGATTTCCACGTGGGTGTGCATGGAGCCCGTGTGCTAGACGTGTGCTTATAAAGGGAACATTAGTGCTCTGTTCGGCCCTTGATAGCACGAGATTTTGAATGTTGCTTATGTGGTGATCACCCACTGCCACTTTTTCCTTAAAACAACTGCTTTTGCAAGAACGGTGATATGCAAGCAATAGGCATACATTTAAGGGAATTTGAGAAGCAGTGATAGCTTAAAGTCATCGACATCCCAAGAGGGGTCTTTTTGTGAACCTCCTTTTTAATGTCTAAGCACCAGTTTATAAACACCGCAGAGGTTGTGCGGCAGATCTGTCCGGTTTGTGTGTGTGTGTGTGTGTGTGTGTGTGTGGAATGGGGTTTGATAAAGGTTTTGCTATGTTGTTTACTACATTTGGGGAATTAACATGTGATTTATATGCATATTTTTCTGTGAATCTACATTTTTTTGTACCAGATGTTCTTACACGCTATGACGCTAAGGGAGGAAAATGCCAAAGATATCTCTAGTTACGTGGAGCTCGGCCAACACCGTCTCGACAAACTCGCAAGGAAAGACCTGTTTCAGAGAAGAATGGAGTAAACGCTTATTTGGGAAAATGTTTCTCAGAAATAAAACGTGCACTGGTTACTCTCTTGGCAGAGCGGGGGGCTGGTTCTTTCTGATTCTGTGTAGCTCTTACGGCCCCAACTCCACTCGCTTTGCAGGGACTGCTGGACCAAGAGGGGGCAGCGGGGGGGAACGGTTCCTGTTCGTGACTGGCAGCACCAGCTTCCTGAGGAACCTTTATCGAAGTGGATTATGATGAATTTAGGGTGGTATGTTGTTTTTTTTCTTTTTCTTTGAGACAGAGTCTCACTCTGTCGCCCGGGCTAGAGTGCCGTGGCATCAGCCTAGCTCACAGCAACCTCAAATTCCTGGGCTCAAGCGATCCTCCCGCCTCAGCCTCCCGAGTAGCTGGGATGACAGGCATGCGCCACCATGCCCAGCTAATTTTTTCTATATATTTTTAGTTGGCCAATCAATTTCTATTTTTAGTAGAGACGGGGTCTCGATCTTGTTCAGGCTGGTTTCGAACTCCTGAGCTCAAATGATCCGCCTGCCTCGGCCTCCCAGCATGCTAGGATTACAGGCGTGAGCCACCGCGCCCGGCTGGTGTGTGTGGTTTTCAGTGCTGCAGGGGGGAGGGGCAGGTCTGGGCTGGTGCAGGGCCCACCACTCACCCTCACCATGGAGCAGCCGCAGGTGGGCACGTGTGGTCCAGATGCATAGGAGGTTCCTTCTTCCTGAAGGAACTGTGAGGTCTGTTTGCCCCGACAAGGGGCCTGCCCGGCTTCCCCACAGACGCCACGTGGAGAACCCCAAATACAGCGGCTGAGACTGGCTTTAGGATGGCTGGGGTGTCCGCCCACCGTCTGGATATGCCCATTACCCAGGTCACGTAAATGCTGCAGTTAAGGGCCCCCTCCACATGGGCGCTGCAGAGTCCGGCTACACAGAAGCCTGATCAAAGTCACTGTCACAATCTCTCCCCCCCCCCCACGGGTATTACAGGCACTAATAAAATCATCAGGTGGCTCAGGCCTGTAATCCCAGCACTCTCAGAGGCTGAGGTGGGAGGAACACTTGAGGCCAGGAGTTTAAGACCAGCCTGGGCAACATAGCAGAAGGACCGCGGTCTCTCTAAGAAAACAAAAGTATGAAGAGAGAGCAGGAGAGCGAGTCACACCGCAACCAGCTCTGGAAGGCCGAGCGGGAGAAGTCAGGAAAGAGAGCTGAGCGAAGAGTGAGGACCCCGCTCTTACTGAGTAAAGAGAGGAAAGTCATGGCCAACTAATATATAAGTTGTTGTGTGTGAGAAGAAAATGTTAAGCGTGTGGTGCATGGTTAGTGCGAGAGAGAGCGACAGCAGATCGAAGAGATGGTGAGGAAGGCACTCAGGGAAGAACAAAGAGACTCTGTCGTCAAAACAGAAGAAAACAAGGAAAAAAAAAACCAGACGGATTAACAAGAGAACCAAGAAAAGGCAAAAGGGAGAGTCGAAGGGCTCATCCCAGGAAGGTGGAGATTTTTAAGTGGTTATTAAGAAATTAAGTCAAGGCGGGGCGGTGGCTCACGCCGTAATCCGTACGTCTCTGGGAGCCGGAGGCGGGCGAATTGCTCGACGAGTCAGGATTCTAACCAGGCCTGGCCGAGCAAGAGCAGAGACCCGTTGTGTCTCTACTACTAAATGACGAAAGAAACTAATTGGCCAACTAATATCAATACAACAAATTGAGCGGGCATGCGGGGCTCATGCCATGTGATCCCAGCTACTCGGAGGCTGAGGCAGAAAGATGCTTGAGCCAGGGTTTGAGGGGCGAGTCGAGTGGGGAGGCAGACGATAGGGACTCGACACCACCCCGCACGTCTCTCACGGCAACAACAGCGAGACTCGTCTCAAAAAAACACACACACAAGGAGCTCGCTCATGCCGCCAGAAGGCGCCTGGCCAGCCATACCTGAGGGTCAATAGAAAGAAAATTCTTCTGGGACCCATGGCTAGATAGCGGTGATTGGTCGCCGAGTAGAAAATTACGCAAGGGCGGCTCTTACTCCCGCATAGAAGGTATGGGAGACACGCCGTAGCGATATGGTAATTATGCGTAGATGAGAGACGCATAGTCGCGGCCCTGGAGATGTGAGAATGTGGATTAGATACGCAAGGTCTTGGGCTACGCGCCTGACGTGATGCGGGGCGGCTCCGCCTGTGTGTCCTAGCACTGCTTGGGGGTTTTGTGTGTATGCTCGAGCGCAGATGTAGGCAAGGACACTCAATGCATGTTTTCCGGCCTTGCTGGACCAGTGGTCGCTGGACCTGGGCCCCGGGCTGAGCAGCGAGAGAGGTTAGTGAGACAGAAGACGGCACAATCTCAAAGCTCTCTGCACTTCTCCATCACTTTGCCTCAGATGCTCAGTAGATCAGCAAGGCGCTACTATGCCAGAGCGCGTGACCGCGGTAGATAAGGTAGCGGTGGAACGCACGTGGACGCCTAGCAGAACAACTGTCGGTGCTTGTCCGCGCCGCTCTCCCGTGCAGCGCTCCCGGCCATCCTGCGTGGCTGCAAGCTGAGGCTTTGAGCGGGAAAATGTAACACTATCCCTGAAAAATTAAGCCCTAGCTGGTTGTCATCTTGTGGCGAAAACTAAGATATAAAGACCTGTGCTTAGCCGGGCTTGTGGTGGTGTCTCGGGTCAGGGCTCGCTAATCTTACGACACTATACTGCTGGTATGCGCCATCAGAGTGGGCGGTCAGGCATATTCAAGCTTGTTTCGCGAGGGATTCAGAGAACCGAGCTGGCTGGAAGCCAACGAGCTGATGTACCCCGGCTAGTGGCCGAATCTCATGTCCCTTCCAATGATGGAAAGTTTGGGTAAAAGTAAATGACATATGGAGAAAAGGAGGAATAGCAGCTGAGGGTAAAGAAACGAGGAAATGGGTTGCGAATTGAGAGGAACCCAGTATTACATTAACACCTCAGGCTTAGAGCAAGAGATGACATTGTCTTTTAGCTTAAATATGCTAGATGCCTGAACAGGTGAAGCCCTACGTTTGCCAAGACCACTCTGCTTTTGGAAACTGCCAGGGTCGAATGGAAGCTTGCACACCTGAGGGGGCCTCACCCCTGGAGAGGCTCGTACTATACGATGGGCTGGACTAATTACTGTGCATATTCTTTTTGTTTTTGAGACAGAGTCTCACTCTGTTGCCCAGGCTAGAGTGAGTGCCATGTCAGCCTAGCTCACAGCAACCTCAAACTCCTGGGCTCAAGCAATCCTCCTGCCTCAGCCTCCCGAGTAGCTGGGACTACAGGCATGCGCACCCAATGCCGGCTAATTTTTTCTATATATATTAGTTGGCCAATTAATTTTTTATTATAGTAGAGACGGGGTCTCGCTCTTGCTCAGGCTGGTTTAGAACTCCTGACCTCGAGCAATCCACCCGCCTCAGCCTCCCAGAGTGCTATGTGCATATTCTTTTCATGGGAAGGATCTGTGCTGGAAAACCAGGGGTGGCCTGTGGTGTTAGGATATCTACATAGGCTTCCATTGTAGTTCCTGGCTCGTGACTCCCGCAGGCCTCATCACAGCCTTTTGTCCTGGTGTTGGCTGTGTCAGGGCCTCTTCGGCAGCCTACGGAAAGGGCACTCTCTTTCCCTTGAGGCAGGACTCTCACCTTCCCCCGCCTTTCTGAGGGTGGGTCCTGAGACCCTTATTCCAGGGAGGGTCCTGCCCCAGCCCTGCAGGCTAATCACATTTCAACGAGGCTGCTCATAAAAACCTAAGAGGATGGGCTTCAGTGAGCTTCTGGATAGCCGAACACGTGGGGGGCCTCCCTACACCTCAACATGCGTCTCTTCATTTGCATCCTTGTTAACAGACTTTATGGAGTATAATAAATAAACCAGCAATCAGGGCAGTGGGGAGACTACTATCTCCTTGTTTCCTGTCTCAGTCTAGAACTCAAGAGCTGACTGTCATTTCCTCTACTTTCCCATGATAACATTGAACCCTGCCTGGGCACAGAGGCCTCAGAGACACTATGGAGAGGAAGGTGGAGGCAGAAAGAATTCCAAATTCCACCCTGTCTCAAAGCAGCTGCGGTTGCTCCAGCCTTCTCGACTTCTAGATGAGGCAGAAGGTTGCATCTTCACTAACAGACCAGAGGTGCTGCCAGTGCCGTCAGCCAAAGACCACCAGAAACACCCCTGACAAGTTGCACGAGGGAGATCTCACCCCATGGAGAAAGCAGGGCACTGAATTAGGAAGGCACTCGAGAGGTTGTGCAGGGTCTGGGTTTGGGGGAGCACTGGGGGCAACGGTACCTCACCACTGTGTGTGCTGCTGTCAGGAGGCGGGCGTGACCGTGAGACATCCGGTCGTGGTACGTCTCATCCAGAGGGCGGGGAGAGCAGAGCGAGGTTAAAACTGCCACTGGCAAGAAGTGGCAGTCCCGCATATTCACGGGGGGCTGGCCGTTTGGTGACTTGGACACTGTTCCCCAATGTGTTCAGATGCGGTCTTGCTTTTCTCTGCCTCTGTGGGCCACAGTGTGGCTCAACTGTGGGACTGTCGTGCCTACCAGGAGCCTGATGAGGGCTCGCTGTGCGTGCGGCCACCAGTCCTCAAGGGCTGCTTTGCTTTCTCTTGGTGCCGTCCCAGGTGACAAGGACACAACGTTCAGGCCAAGGGTGAGCTGCAGGCACCTTGTAGTCTAGAAAATGTCCCGTCTGTGACCTTGCAGAGGCCAACCTTCTCTGCACCAGGAGGAAAGTGCCCATGTCACTAAAAGCCAATCACTGTTATCTGTTGGTTTCTTTCCCTTTTGGAGACAGTGTCTTGCTCTGTCACCCTGGCTAGAGGGCAGTGGCATCATCAGAGCTCACTGCAACCTCATGCTTCTGGGCTCAAGCCATCCTCCCGCCTCAGCCTCCCCAGTAGCTGGGACTACAGGCATGAGCACCACCACACCTGGTAATTTTTCTATTTTTAGTAGAGACGGGGGTCTTGCTCTTGCTCAGGCTGGTCTTGAACTCCTGAGCTCAAGTGATCCTCCCACCTCGGACTCCCAGAGTGCTGGGATTACAGGTGTGAGCCACCATACCCGGCCTATCTGTTGGTTTCTTGATCCCTTGCCCTGAAATCTTGTCAATGTTCTGTGTTCCACTTCAGAAATGGGGATACTGGATGGTGGCTCTTTTTTTTGAGGTTCTGTGTTTTTCCTGTGAAACATGTCATTATATATATATATAACAGAGGTCACATAACATGTATATCTTAATGAATAATACTGTTATGAATATAAATACCTGTGTGCCCACAACACAGCAGTTTTAAGAAGCAAGAGCAGGAAGTAGAACCCACAAAGCCCCCCACTGTGTGTTTAGTTCCCCGGGGCTGCTCTAACACATTACCACAACTTAGTGGCCTAAAACAACAGAAATGGCAGGCTGGTGGCTCATGACTGTAATCCTAGCACTCTGGGAGGCCGAGGCAGGCAGATCGTTTGAGCTCAGGAGTTCGAGACCAGCCTGAGCAAGACTGAGACCCAGTCTCTACTAAAAATAGAAAGAAATTAGATGGACAACTAAAAATATAGAAAATTAGCCAGGCATGGTGGCGCATGCTGTAGTCCCAGCTACTCGGGAGGCTGAGGCAGGGAGGATGTTGAGCCGGAGTTTGAGGTTGCTGTGAGCTAGGCTGACGCCACGGCACTCTAGCCCGGGCAACACAGTGAGACTCTTGTCTCAAAAAAAAAAACAACAGCAGAAACGTATTCTGTCATAGTTCTCGTGGCAACAAGACCAGAGTCAGTTATCACTGGGCTAAAACCAGTGAGCTCTAGGGGAGGAGGATCCTTCCTTCCTGTCTCTTTCAGCTTCGGGGGACTCTAGGTGTTCTGCGGCTGTGGCTGCATTGCTGCAGCCTGTCTCCGTCGTCAACTTGGTGTTCTTGCTGTGTGTCAATTCTCCCTCTGCCTCCTCTCATAAAGATACATGTGTGGCATGCAGGGCAGTCTCGATAACCCAGGACAATCTCCACATCTCAAATCCTTCACTTAACCACATCTGCAGATATTCTTTTTCCCAAATAAACTAATACAACATTTAAAGGTTCCAGAGGCCAGGCATAGTGGCTCATGCCTGTTTAACTCGAACGCTTCAGGAGGCTGAGATGGGAGGATCACTTAAGGCCAGGAGTTTAGGGCCAGCCCAGACAGTGCAGGTTCCTCTCTCCAGCTCAAGGTCCTTGTTGGGGGTTGTTATTTAGTTGACCACACATGCCCTTCCCCCTGTTCTCCTGCCCCCAGGAGTAACCACCATCTCCAATTCTGTGTAAACCACACCCTGGGCTTTCTTTCTTTCTTTTTTTTTTGATACAGAGTCTCTGTCACCTAGGCTAGAGTGCTGTGGAGTCAGCCTAGCTCACAGCACAACCTCCAACTCCTGGGCCAAGCAATTCTTCTGCCTCAGCCTCCCGAGTAAGCTGGAACTACAGGCATGCGCCACCATGCCCGGCTAATTTTTTCTCTCTATATATATTTTTAGTTGGGCAATTAATTTCTTTCTATTTACAGAGAGAATATACTCTATTTATAGTAGAGACAGGGTCTTGCTCTTGCTAAGGCTGGTTTCGAACTCCTGATCTTGAGCGATGCTCCCGCCTCGGCCTCCCGGAGTGCTAGGATTACAGGTGTGAGTCACTGTGCCCAGCCGACTGTTTCTGAATAAGGTCATATTCACAGGTCTGGGTGGACGTGTCTTTTGGGAGCCACCGCCGACGGTCCCACTGCAGTGGGCAGCGCATGGGCTCGGACACAGCTGACGCGGTGCGCGGCTGTCCTCACACCCCGCACGGGAGACACTGAGTGAAATATGAACCGAGCGCCCCAAGGGAGGCAGAGAGTCCAGGGAAGGCCCCGCGCCGGCCTCCACTTCCCTCGTGGGACTCGGCGGTCGGGACCCGCCCCGCCCCGCGTGTGGCGCCCGAGGCCCGGGGCAGGTGCGGGTCTGTGACTGCGGTTGGCGGTCCGGGTGCCGTCCCCGCCGTCATTCGATCCTGGGCCCCGGGCCCGCGATCGCGGGCGACGCCGCCCGTCCAGCTCAGCCGTCCTCGCGGTCACCTCGGGAGAAGCCGCAGCCGCCCCTCGCGCGGGAACCGAGTCGCTCCACGCACGCGCCCGCGCGTCCTCACACGCTCCACAACGGCGCTCGGCGCTCCCTCGTCGCCCTGCGTCGGTTGGATGCACTCGGTGCTCTGCGGGCTCCCTGGCGGCGTGCGCGCGCACGCACGGACGCACGGACGCACGCACGCACGCAGGCTCAGCACTTCCGGCCGCGGCGGCCTTAGCGCCGGCCCGAAGGGAGCATAGCGCCCGGTCTCCCGAGCGGCATGCGGCGCTGAGGAGCGCGGACACGTCGGCGGCGTCATGAACCTCCTCCCGTGTAACCCCCACGGCAACGGGCTGCTGTACGCCGGCTTCAACCAGGACCACGGTGAGGCGGGCCGGCCCTGACGTCCTCCCGTCCGGCCGCCGCACCCGGAGACCCCCGCCCCCTGGGCCCCCGGTGAGGCGGGCCGGCCCTGACGTCCTCCCGTCCGGCCGCCGCACCCGGAGACCCCCGCCCCCTGGGCCCCGCACTTGGAGACCCCCCAACTCCGGGTCCCCTACCTGGAGACCCCCACACCCTGGGCCCCCCCCCCGGAGACCCCACACCGGGGCCCACCCCGGCCCCTCACTCGGACACCCCCGCCACTCTGGGCCCCCTACCTGGAGACCCACGCCCCCCGGGACCCCTACCCGGAAGCCGCACACCCCAGGCCCTCCACCCGGAGACCCCAAACCCCGGGTCTCACACCCGGAGACCCCAATTCCCGGGCCCCACACCCGGAGACCCCCGCACACTCCGGGCCCCCCACCCGGATACCCCAAGCCCCGGAACCCCTACCCGGAGACCCCCACACCCCGGGTTCCGCACCCGGAGACCCCCTTCCCGGAGACCGTTACCTGGCCCGGTCTCACCTCCCTGCCCTCTCACCGCCGCCGCCAGGGGTCCAGGCTGAGTCCGCCCCCCCCCAGGCTTTCGGGACTCCCAGGGCTGCAGGTCGGTCGCGCCCTCCAGGCTGTCCCCGGTGGAGGGCGGAGGTTAGGACACTCTTTCGCCAGTCGCCCCCACCCCACCCACTCTGGGTCTCTGCTGCCTACCGGCTGGCTTGGCTGGGGTTTCTCCCCATGGCATAATTTATGGTGTGCCTCAAAACTCCGTTTTTTCTAGCACTTCTCTTAGGTTCTTGAGCAAATAAGGTGCAGCTGAGTTGAAAATTGTTTCAGTTCTTTTGAGCCTTGGAACTACACTTTATTGAGGATTTTTGTAGGCCATGTGACCTAGGTGGGGTATAGTTCTTACCTTTTCTCTTGGTTTCAATCGGAAAATGTCACCCTCTTCCCCCACATTTCTTGGTGTTTTGTGTGTGTGTGTGTCTGTGTGTAATAGAAGGACTTTTTAGGTCTACCTTTGAGGGAAATCTCGTTTCTTTTAGCACCTTGGAATCCAGCTGTAGTCACTGGATGATTTAACCCACTGGGAGAGAGTGATCTCTTTACACAGGGTGTGCCTGAAAGGGCCCCTAGGACGCAGGTGTGAGTCACCAGATTCCTGCTGCAGTTGAGACTGGGAGGGTCTCCCAGAGACAGCCCTTCTTCCTTGGGCAGGGAACTGGAATTTGGACAGACACCACCTCAGATTTTCAGTGCCCACTACTAAAATTCGTAACTGGGGAGAAAAGGAGTAATGGCTGTCATTCAGGGACAGACTTATAAGAATTTTTTCCTATTGACTTTGCAAGTTTTGTTTTTGAACAGAATCAAAGCAAGTGCTATATGATTCTGTATTTGTGAAAGTAGTTTTTTTTTCTTTGTGGCACCGGCATGTGAAGGTAATTTTAAATAGATACAATGATTACCTCTCTCTCATTTGGCATGTATGTAGTTTGTGCTTGGTGTGCAGGACACTTCTTGGGATTTGAGGGATATGTTGAATATAATCAAAACCTGTCCCTTTGCTAAATTTGACTGGCTAAAAAAACCCACAAAAAACTGTCCCTTGTATCGCTAGTGGTGCAGTAGGAGAACTATTAATAAAATATGTCTGAGGAAAAGGTAAAAGGCAGACAATATGCGTGCCACAAGAGAGGTATAAGAAGTTTTTCATTAAGTTGGAAGAGGAGGGCTCTGGGAGGCCAAGGGAGGAGGATAGCTTGAGCTCAGGAGTTCACTGAGACCAGCCTGAGCAAGAGCAGGACCCCATCTCTACTAAAAATAGAAAAATTAGCTGGGCACAGTGGCACATGCCTGTAGTCCCAGCTACTCTGGAGGCTGAAGTAGAAGGATTGCTTGAGCCCAAGGAGTTTGAAGTTGTTGTGAGCTATGACGACGCCACTGCAGTCTAGCCGGAGTGACGCAGGGAGATTCTGTCTCAAAAAAGAAAAAAGAAAAAAATTGGGGGAGGGCAAGTTTACTTCTGGCCTTTAAATCTGCAAAATTAGAAGCAGTAGTGGCCATAGGGAAGATTGAGGCTGAATGGCTCTCCACGGTGACCCCAAGTGGTTTTGGTTTGTCCCCACAGTAGGGATGGGAAGGAGCACATTTATTGAGGTTAGTGAGGTTTGTGTTTGGGGCCAAATGTTGGACACTGGGCAGTATTTGAACATTTTGGATTTGCATTAGAAGAGGAGGGCCAGTTTTGACAATAATTGAGAACCCTTTAAGGCATTAATAGTAATGTAACATCTCCTTAACAAACATGCTTTCATACTTAAGCTTCTGGTCACATGTAGGTTAATAGCCTGTAACGTAAATGTAAGCCAGATTGTTCATTACATTTTATTTTTACTTACACTGATTTTTAATTTTTACTCTCGGTGTTTTTAACATTCTTATTGTAAATTCAGGCTTATAAGTTATTTTATTTATTTATTTTTTGAGACAGAGTCTCACTTTGTTACCCCAGCTAGAGTGAGTGCTGTGGCGTCAGCCTAGCTCACAGCAACCTCAATCTCCTGGGCTCAGCGATCCTACTGCCTCAGCCTCCCGAGTAGCTGGGACTACAGGCATGCACCACCATGCCCGGCTAATTTTTTGTATATATATTTTTAGTTGGTCAATTATTTTCTTTCTATATTTAGTAGAAATGGGGTCATAGGCTGGTTTGGAACTCCTGACCTCGAGCAGTCCGCCCGCCTTGGTCTCCCAGAGTGCTAGGATTACAGGCGTGAGCCACCACGCCCAGCCATAAATCATTTTAAAAGGATATTTGTCCATAATTTTAAAATTGGCACTATAGTCTTCAAGACTCAAAAGTTTGTTGAAATGTACATTTCTGTGACATGCCCACCTATTTTCTTTCCATTTCCATAGGAAGCAGAAGTGCTTTGAGTATCTATTCCTACTGTGTATACTGGCTTGAGCTGCTGAGTTCCCTGGCCCCTTCTGTAGTTCTCAAGTTCAGGGGTGGGAGCATTTAAACGGAGTCACATGTATTAGGAAGACGCCCTCAGCGACTCTGCCCTGGAGCCAGTCAGGCTTCCTCTTCACTGCTGTCTCCCCCGGGGTGTGCGCAGCCACTGACCGGCCTGCGAGCTGGTGGTTTCTCTGGGAAGAAAGTTCTGTTCACATAGCAGGGGTGATGCTTAGTCTCCTTAGAGTGTTTTCCAACCTTTTGGTGTCTGTAATACCATCCTTCTGTTGAAGTGTGCTCTACAGGTAGAAAAGTGCACCTTTCGTGAGCGTTCAACCCATGAACGCTCTGAACTGAGCATACTCAATGCTAGCAGGTAAGAAACTGAATACACCTGCCCGCCCTGTGCTGCTCCTAGCAACTGCCCCCAGCCTGACTTCTGACCTCGTAGATCAGTTTTGCCTACTTCTGTACTTTATTTCTGCGCTTGTTTTTGTTTCTGGCTTTCTTACACGCAACATTGTGTTGTGAGCTTCCCCCCACGTTTGGGGTAGTGGTGGGTAGTCCCCACTCGATGTGTAACGTTCCTCTGTGGGATGCATCAAAATCCATTTACCCATGCTACCGTTGGTGGGCCTCTGGGTAGGTAGGGTCCAGTTTAGGATACCACAAGCACAGCAGTGCTACGGGTTATTCTAGAACTTTTGGTGATCATTTGTTCACATTTCTACAAATTGTGTACCCTGGTACGCCTGGGAGTAGGATCGACAGTTGTAGTGGGTGGTGCAAACAGCTTTCGAGGGTGGTGGTCCCAGTGTACCCTCCCCCAGCGGGCCTGAGAGCTCCCGTGGCTCTGCACCCCCTCATCTGTGGTGTTCCCCATCATTTTGTCCGTTTTGGTGGATGAGCAGTGATCTTGTTGTGTTTTGTTTGCATTTCCTGATTCTCTGTGTTTTTTGTCCATCTGGAATCCTCTGGCATAAAACGTCCAGGTCTTTTGCCTGTTCTTCTGTTGGGTTATCTGCCTTTTTCCTGTGCATTTACAGAGGTGGTTTGTAAGTCTTGTCAGAAATATGTGTGTTCTGATGAAGACAGGTGGGCAGGCTTACAGCTTGGAGAAGGTGCACTACTATTTTGCTCTTGTATTTTCTGTCAAGGAAAGTTCTGATTCCTCTGTTTGGATTATATGATTCCAGTAATAGTTATAATCCAGAATGATTTAAGAGATAGGAACAGAGCACTTTCAAGTGAGTTTCAGGTTCCACGCCCAGATAAATTACGTTTCAGAGTGTCAGAGTGGATGAGAGGTGTGGACTCCATTTCACAAGGGCAGCTTCACAGGTCCTGGGATCTGTCATTTCAAAGTGACTGGGACAAAAAATATAGGCATGCTTTTCACGTTTGGAAGGGTGGCTGACAGGATAGAATAACGCGGTTCTGGAAATTAGAAAAGTGGATTGAAATCAGTAGAATGGTATTTTAACAGGGCCCTTGCATTGGCTCAAACCTGTTGTGCAGTCACTGTGAGGAACCAGACTTGCAGCATTTCAGGTGAAAAGGAGTTGGAGGGTTTGGTTTTTTCTTTCAAGATACAGCTTCATACGAACTAACACTGGATGTGGCATTTAAGGAGATTAATGTCCTTGGGTCAAAGTTTATGGAACTAACACATCATCACCATCATCTTCAAACCTGAGTGCTTTGTTTGGTTCCTAGCAGTGCCTTTTATTTGGACCATTAACAACCTGGTGTGTGACTTGGAGATGGTGACCAGGACGAGTGTTATTGTGACTGTGTCTAAGGAGTTAGGACAATTTATAGGTGGCAGCAATGTCATGAGAGACCTCGGAGCAGGCTTCTGAGAGACCAGTAGCTGAGAATGAGCAGCCCTTGCCTGTCTTCCTGGGAGTCTAGGACCACTCTTCCATCTCCTGCACCCCTCTGCCCTTCTCCTGCCCTGTTGTGTCCACACTGGGCAGGACTGCTGCTTTGCGGCTGTCCTCCACTAGCTGTGGACTCTCCGGGACCTGGCGTGATACCTGACACGCAAGCTCTCTCGAGAGGTGTGTTCGGAACGGGAGGGGGATGGTGAGCATTAGCGAGAGGGAGGTGTTGGAGGAAATGCTGGGTGGTGGAGTGGCTTGTCAAGGTGGCCAGTGAGCTCCTCTCACTGGAATTCAGTGGTCAAGCGGAAGCAGGTCCACAGGTGCCAGAGAAGGACCCTGTAGTGGGGAGTTAGTGTGAGCAACTCCGAAGGTTCATTTGCAAGCTAAACAGCAAACTGAAAATGTCTCGCAAGGATGTGCATATATATCACTTAATAACATTTCCGTGGGGAAGCATCTGTGACGCCGCACGTGTCGTGTCTGTGTGGGGTGGGCACCTGCAGGAGCTCATTGCTCCAGGTCTGCCGTTTTCTCCAGACCCCTTGCTTTTGCCCACACCAGGCCTGGGGATTAACATGTCTCTCTCTCACTCCCTGTCTAGGGTGCTTTGCGTGTGGGATGGAAAATGGATTCCGAGTCTATAACACGGATCCACTAAAAGAAAAAGAGAAACAAGGTAAGAAGGAACTGACGTTTCCTGTTCTCTCCCCTTTCCGACTCCCCAAAAGCCTAACTTTTATCTTTCAGATGCAGCAGGGAGAGGACCGCTGTCTTTGAGAGGTAAACAGCGTTTGTGGCCCTCCGTAAACTTGGCGGAATTGTCTTCTTCTTGGGCTTCTGTGGGTGCCTGGCTCGTACAGTACCGGGGTGGGGGTGTGATCAGCAGGTGGCCGCTGGCCCAACTCCGATTTCTCTGGTGAATCGTCAGCCAGTGTGAACTGCCCGTGTCCTTTCCCCACATCTTCCGTCTTTGCCAACTCTGTTTGGTAGAGCAGGTGTATTCATGCAGGCCATTTTCACTTTTTTTTTTGTTGAATGTAGAACTGTGGAGAACTCCGATGATCGATCCAGTTACGGCAGGTAGGACTCTTAACTCTTGGCAAATGATGGACACTTCGAAAATATTATTTGTAGTGATAAATTATAGTTTCGGCTGGACACAGTGGCTCATGCCTATAATCCTAGCACTTTGGGAGGCCAAGGTGGGAGGATCACTCAAGGTCAGGAATTCAAAACCAGCCTGAGCAAGAGTGAAACTCTATCTCTACTAAAAATAGAAACAATTTAATTGGCCAACTAATATATGTAGAAAAAATTAGCCAGGCATGGTGATGCATGCCTTTAGTCCCAGCTACTTGGGAGGCTGAGGTAGGAGGATCACTTGAACCCAGCAGTAGGAGGTTGCTGTGAACTAGGCTGATGCCACGTCACTCTAGCCTGGGCAGTAGAGTGAGACTCTGTCTCAAAAAATAATAATAATAAATAATAAATTATAGTTTCTTCTGTTTGCTTATTTCAGTGTTGTAATCTGTGTTTTCATGAAATACAAGTTTTCAAAAAATGGAATCAGGGATTCGTCCTATTGGCAAATAAAATAATGGTGGTCCTTTTCCTATCTGCCAGAAAAAAAAGTTAAATTTATGGGCAGAATTTTTTCAATTTGGTTTTTCCCCTTACATATTTTTCTTAAGCTTTTGGCATCTCCTGGTCCTCCTCACCTGCTGGGAAATGAAGCACTTATGACAAATGAGCAAATCTCAGCGAAATCACAGAAAGTGAGAAACATCCTTTTTCTTCCTGCAGTTGTGGTTTTAGTTTTGGCTTTGGTTTATATTCAGTGCGCATGTTAATTTCTGATGCTAGAACTGTTTCTCGTCCGAAAGAGGACTGCACTGCCGCGGCATCACGGCACCCTCGTGCTCCACTGAGCAGGCCTTTTCTGTCTTGGCAACTAGTAGCACAGGTCAGGGACTTTCGGAGAGTTTTTGGGGGCGGGCAGTGGAAATGCTTGTCAAGTGAAATCTTATATGTGACCCTAGAGTGTAAAACAGTGAGTGGCGCTTTATACTTTGGGGTTTCTTTTGTGAGCAGCGGTCGGCAGCCTCCACTAGTTTTAGAAAGACAGCATCGCCAGGTGGCCGAGAGCTCAGACAGGATCCACACGGTGTGTCTTGGAGTCCTGGCTCTGTCCAGTTGCTGTGTGACCTTGGGCAAGTTTCTCAGCTGCTCTGGGCTTCAGGTTATTTATGTGTAAAACCAGGATGCTAACAGTGTCTGCCTCAGGAGATTACTGTGCAGAGGGAGGAAGGAGAAATTGCACAGATGAGTGCTCGGCTCGTATGTCAGTACGTGTGGGCTGCCATTCCCAGCGGCAGGAGCACTGCTGGCGTGGAGTCGGTGGGTGGGCTTAGCGCCTGTTGTCGGTCTTGCAGGTGTCTGATTTACAGTAATTTTGTTTTGGTTGCATAGTGATTTCAGACAGTTCTTCTTTGTGCAGATAAGTAGTTGCAAAACATTTCGCAACAGCTTGACTTGCAAATCTCAGGATACTTTTGACTAAATTGACTCAGAAGCTTAAAGAGGAGTTACAGGTATTGGTGTCAAAGTTAAATCATTAGCAGTATTTTAACAATTGCTTTCTAATTAATGAAATGTTTACAATAAATTCAGATTTTCTTATAAAAATGAGGTACACAGGAAGCATCTGAAACTCATAAGTTCCAGAAAGTATACTGTCGTCAGGACATCGTGCTTCATACATGTGTTTATTCCGTGCTGCTGCTCAGCTCTGCTCTCCAGGGCAGGCTACCCTTGACCTTAGCGTGTAGTTAATTAATACTCGTGCCCGTGTGGTATGCTCGCGTTTCCAGATCATTTTGAGTGCGGAGTACACGAGCCGTCCCGCGATTCAAACCTGGACAGAAACGGGGGTCAGGTGCCGTGTCTGTGCCTGCTATCTATGTCTGCAGGATGGCATACTTTTTCAGAACGCCATTATTTTAACCAACCAGCTGTACCTCCATGTGATAGGCTGCTTTAGCACAAGATCTATATATCTTGTATGAGTCTGTTTAGTGCATTGTTATTCAACATGAGCACATAAAACAAGAACATTTAAAAACCTAAAACTTAATTGGAAAACATTATATTGTACAGAGTAGAAACATGTCATGTAACCTATTCACACCACCTGATTTTTACATTTTACAAGGGTCCACGAAGCTGCCTGTATAAGTAAAACAAATGCTTTCCAGTCTTTAATAGCTTTTCCTCATCAACACCAACCGAGCTAAATGGACATTCGTACGTCAATGGTCTATTTCAGTCACTATATATATGACTAATTTCTGGTCTGTTGGTACTTACAATATGTAGTTGCCACTGGCTCGGATGGGCAAGAGCGTTTTCCGACAGCCCTGATCGCCGGTATCCGCAATAGTGGATTTTACAACAACAATGTGAATATACATTTAGACACCATACGCTGGGATCTGGTCTCACACTGCCCTTCAAAGACATTTCTTGGGGCTCGGTTATGAGGAGAGCCTTGTCTCCGGGTGAGGCTCTCTGAAGGTGGAATTCCGCGAGAGATTAGTATAGATGGGCTCCCGTGCTAATCGGGGACATTACCTGTATGCTCAGTTACAAACCTGAGGAGAGCCTGCTTCCCACAAAGCTCCGCCACCACTCCAAGAACTTCCTTTGGCCCCCAAGCACCGTGAGAAAACATAAACTATTTCCCCTTTGATGCGGCACGTTCTGGCAGTTACAGTTGTATGTTCTCATTTTTGAATTTTGTCTTCTTGTTGCTTATGTTGGAGAACCGATCGGACGTGGTTCCCTTCGCTTCTATGTCCAGTGCCCCTAAGGGAGCTTGTGTTGCTCTTACACACTTGTAATTGGCGCCTGTTTGGCAGGATCAGCAACCGTTAGCTTCTGGTCCTGGCTGGGCACGGTGGCTCACGCCTGTAATCCTAGCACTATGGGAGGCCAACACGGGTGGATCGTTTGAGCTCAGGAGTTTGAGACCAGCCTGAGCTGAGCAAGAGCGAGACCCCGTTTCTACTAAAAATAGAAAGAAATTAGCTGGACAACTAAAAATATATAGAAAAAATTAGCCGGGCATGGTAGTGCATGCCTGTAATCCCAGCTACTCGGGAGGCTGAGGCAGGAGGATCTCTTGAGCCCAGGAGTTTGAGGTTGCAGTGAACTAGGCTGACACCACAGCATCTAGCCCAGGCAACAGAGTGAGACTCTGTCTCAAAAAAAAAAAAAAAAAAAAAAAAAAAGGCACAGGTCCTGCGTCTACGCACACCTGTTTCTTTCCCTCCAGAGCAGCACCACCCTACTCCAGGAAGGCCTCTGGGCCCCAGGGCTGCCTGGAGTTGATGACGCAGCCTGTAGCCGTCCTCATGGTGATGCTGTCACAGTAAAGGACTCAGATTCAAGTGTTTCACACACTTGTGAGAGTTACTACAAAAAATTCAACAGTTGTAATTTGCACAAATAAAAATGCTTAAAGAATGATATATTTGGATGAAGTTTTATATCCAGTGGAAATAATAGGAGAGTACGTAAAAAGTCAACCCTGTTTCACTTGAAAACATAAATCTCCCGTGTGACAAAGTTGAGCAGAACAGATGTAACCGGGGCCCTGCTCGGGGAGCTTGCACAGTCTGCGGCGTGGGCAGAGGTGCTCAGAGGCGTCCTGCTGTCCTCAGCGCACCCTCTTTTCCCTTCGTGCGGCTGGCACTCCCATCGGGACGTTGACAGTCACGAGGGGAGGTGTGGGGGACTCAGAGACTTACGGCGACTGCCCCGTGGCCGGGTTGAGCAGCCTGTGGAGACGGTACGTCCTGTGTCCACCTGGAGGTGCTGCACCGAGGGCTGGAGGTGCCTCGATGCCGAGGGGCAGGGCCTTGGTGAGCTGCGGGGAGCATCGGCACAAAGCCCAGCCATGCCCCGTCCAGCGAGCTGCCTACATGACCCACAGCGCAGCATCCTCATGGCGCCTCTGCACACAGCAGGTCCGGTGCCGGGCTAGGGTGCTGCAGAAACCTGAGGTCTGTGGGGGCGGGGTCGTGGGTGACCACTGCAAGTAGGGTGACACAGAGGTGGCATGTAGCCTTGGGAAGGACGTGGAGAAGGGAGAACACTGTGTGACCTGAAGGCCGGAGTTGAAATAGGTGAGCGTTTTTGTAGAGTAATTTCGAAAGATGGGTTCATTTTCGATAAATACACTGTTTGATCCCACAGATACACGTAAAGGATTTTATCTGAAGGAGGAAAAAAGACACTAGATGCTTATGTATTTTGTTACTTGTGGCTGAGTGTGGCGGCTCATGCCTGTGTTCCCAGCACTTTGGGAAGCTGAGGCAGGAGGATCCCTCAAGCCCAGGAGTTTGCGGTCACAGTGAGCTGTGATTGGGCCACTGTAGTCAGCCTGGGTGACAGAGCGAGACCCTGTCTCTTAAAAAAAAAATTGCTTGCAGCACTGTTTCTAGTAGTGAAAAACTGGTGGTGGGGGGCCTAAACGACCATCACAGAACATTAACTTGGTTAAGGTGCATCGTTAAAATGGCATTTGTGCTCATGCAGTGAAAGCACCGAGATCTATCCTAATGCCAGAGATGGCGTGGTGGCCGTGACGTTGTTAAAGGGAAAGGAACGAGACACAGGGGTCCTCCGACTTTTTAAACGGGGCCAGTTCACTGTCCCTCAGACAGTTGGAGGGCTGTTGGAGAGTGTGGCGTGCATTCCACGCGTGCACACTGGGCCCGGGACGAGTCGCCTGCTAATTAAGCAGGACGGTAGCGGCGGCAAAAACACCCGGCGGGCTGGACAGATGTGTCGGGGGGCCACACGTGGCCACGGGCTGCAGTTTGAGGACCCCTGAACTAGAGGATAATGGAGACAGTGCTGGGGTTTTCTGGTGGAAGCCTGCTAGACAAATTCTGAAGATCCGTAGCACCATGCACAAAGTTTAGAAGTATGTACACGATGTTGTTTGCTGGTGTGTCCTACTTTATGCTTTTCTGTGTTGTTTTATTTTTATAGTGATTATAATCTTTTATAATGAGAAATAATTAAGATTTTCCATTACAAAAAACTGGGAAAGGAGGTGGGTTACAGGACAGAGGCAAGCTGAGAAGGTCGGGAGACTGGTAGTTGCATTATTGTTGTCCTGAAGTGCTAGAATGGTTGAGTCTCACCCATTTATATAAAGTGATTAGCTTTTCAGGCATCTCTTAGTGGAATAGAAGTTATACCAACATTCAAACACTCTCTCCCTCTTCTTCATTTTTAGCTTCTCATCTTTTGTGGTAGGTTCTTTGGGGAGAGTTTGAACCACTCAGGCGTTGGGATGTGCCTTAAGTTCCACTCAGCTGGTGTTTAATGGGAGGCTGTTTTATGTCCTGCTCAATCTATTTCTGCAGTTTCAGTCTGCTGTTATAGACAGGCTTGGATACTGATATCTTTGGGCATTTCTTTTTCTTTCTTTTTTATTTGAGGGTCTCACTCTGTCACCCAGGCTAGAGTACAGTGGCATCATCAGAGCTCACAGCAACCTCAAACTCCTTGGTTTAAGTTATGCTTCTGCCTCAGCCTCCCAAGTAGCTGGGACTACAGCTGTGCACCATGCCAACTAAGTTTTCTATTTTTTTGTAGAGATGGGGTCTTATTCTTACCCAGTTTGGTCTTGAACTCCTGGCCTCAAGCGATTGTCCTGTCTTGGCCTCCCAAAATTCTAGGGTTCCAGTTGTGAGCCACCAGACCCAGCCTCTTTTGTTTTTTCTGTAAATAAGCAACACCTTGTGTAATATTCCGGCGCGCCAGCCCTTGGGGCCTGGAAAACTAGAGGCCTTGGTCTTCCGTGGGGTACCCGTCTTCAGCCGCAGGAGGTGGAGGTCCGGTTCTGTGGAAGGCTCTCCTGGCGAGGTTTGGTGTCCTCGCTGAGCCTGGGGAACTCTGGAGTCTCCCCTTGGTGACTTCTGCACAGTCCAGGAAAGGCCTGGGCTTCTGTTTGTTTGCCACAACTGGTTCTGAAAAATCGGCTTTTCCCTTTTTCTTGCCACAGTCAAGAGGCCATATAGCTGATTATGCTGGTGTCTAACTATACTTATTTGTCGTAACTCTTAATTCTCAAATTTTTGTGACTTAACATTGATATTTTTCTAAATTGCATCTGGGTTAGCCAGAAGTAGGCATAAAAGTAAACTGAGACATTATTTACGCTTTTTATAAAGTACTATAGACTTAAGAGAATGATAGAGGCTTATAGCCTCTATCATTCAAATTAAAATGTTAAAAATCCTTTTAAACAGATCCTGATCAACTTTCAGCAAAACTCTATGCTGATTTCTTCATGGAAGTAGTTAGTTTTAATTTTTGTAATGGTCTCATGTAATTGGTTAATCTATATCTGAGTCACAATTCAGAGGTTTTTCAAGCCTTGTTGGACGTTTCTTCATTTTGCCGTCATCCAGAATCACATCTTACTAAGGGAGTGACGTGTTGCTTTTAGAATTTGAAAAGATTTATAACTGACAAATTGAGCTTTATTAACTTAACTTCGTTAGTTTTTAAGTTCACGTTGTGTTTATAAAAGGTTAAACATTCTCAGTTGAATAGTATTTAAAAAATACATTAGATACCTCTTGACATAGTTCTCAGATCACACAGATTTGTTTCTAAAACTTACTGAACCAGCATCAAGGAAATAGTTATGTTTCTCATGCCGTGGGGGCAAAGAAGTTCTTGAGTGGGAGCTTTTGTTTTCAGTTGTAAAAAATATATGACATAAAATTTGGCATCTTAACCATGTTTAAGTGAACAGATCAGTAGTGTTAATTATATTCACATTGTTGTTAACCACTTTGGTACGGCGCTCACCGGCTGCGAAACCTTGCCCACAGCCGGCACTCATAGTCCACACGATAGTTTGTGCTGTGCATTGACGACGAATCCATTTTGCTCTTGTGCGATGAGGAAAGCTTTAAAGCACTGAAAGCTTGTTTTACTTCCCAGGCAGCTTTACTTGTAATGTAAATCAGAATAGGTAACATATACATATATGTTTTCATTACGTTATTTTTAAATGTTCACAATATTATTTTGATAAATGAAAAATTACAAAAGTCATATCATGGCTGTTGGCTAAAGTCGACGCTCGGCTGTGCACCTTCATATCACGGCTGTCGGCTAAAGTCTACTTGCACGTTCATCTGTGGCTGTCGACTGTAGTCAACACTCGTACCCAAGGGGTTAAACAGGCCTCTAGAACATTTTCATCTTGCAAAACCAAAAACTACATCCATTAAATAATTCCCTGTTTCTCCCTGCTATTTCAACTTTCTGCTTCTATGCATTTGGCTACTTTAGGGGCCTCATGAATGCAGCCATACAGTATTTGTCTTTTTGTAACTGGCTTATTTCACTTAGCATAATGTGCTCTAGGTTAGCCTGTGTTGTAGCATACATCAGGATTTCCTTCCTGTTTAAGGGGTAGGGTGAATAATACTCCACTGCATGTATCTGTCACGTTGCTTATTCCTGCATCCGTCAGTGGACACTCGGGTGGCCTCTGTTAGCACATCCTGGCTGCTATGAGTAGTGCTGCTGTGAACGTGATGTGCAGAGACCTGTTTGAGACCCTGCTTTCCGTTCTTCTGGATGCACATTCAGAAGCGGGTTTGCTGGATCCTGTGGTACTTCTGTTTTCCAAAGTGGCTGCTCCAAGCTGTACCTAAGGTTCCCGTTTCTTCACATCCTTGCCAGTTGTGCCTGTTACTCTCCGGACTTTTGATGGTAGCCATCCCGGTGGGTGAGAGGTGGGATCCTGTGGTTTGGGTCTGCATTTCTCTGATGACCAGTGATACAAGTATCTTTTTGTGTGCCTGTTTGCCATTTGTAAGTCATCTTTGGAGAAATGTTTAGTCAAGTCATTTGCTGATTTTTTGGTCAGGTTATTTAATTTTTTGTCATTGAGCTGTAAAAGTTCTTCACATATTCAGGATATTAACCACCTGTCAGATATATGATTTGCAAATATTTTCCCGCACTCCATAGGTTGTATTTTCTCTCTGTTGATTGTGTCCTTTGATGCACAAAAGTTCTCAGCAAGCTCAGCGTAGCCCTGTTTCGCTTTTGGTGTCATAGCTCAGAAATCATAGTCAAGTCTGGTGTCTTGGATCTTTTCCCCTGTGTTTTTGTCTAGGGTTTTTTATAATTTGAAGTCTTACTTTTAGGTTTTTAGTTCATTTTGAGTTAATTTTTTAATATGATGTAAGATAAAGGCCCAACTTTACTCTCGGTGGTGTGGACATCCAGTTTCCCTGGCACCGTTTGTCGAAGAGCCCGTCCTTCCCCCATGAGTGGTCAGCACATGTTTTATGGGTTGTTAGCTCTTCTCTGTCAGCTCTGGCCTGTTCCCGGCCGCTCATCTCTTTAAGAGTGTAAAGGTTAAAGACTAAACAAACGTTAGCTGGCGGTTAAATTTCCTACTGCGTGGTAAGTGGGTTTATGGAAGTAGAAGGAATGGCCTTGGTTGCTGCAGGGTGGAGAAGCTGTGGCTTTTGCAGGTCAGAGGCCGCACACCGGCTCGCGGTGAGCCATCACAGTCACTGGGATTTGGACCCAGGCCACATCCTGTTAAAGCCATAATTACTGTGAGGTAGCCTGTGTGTAAGAGGACTGTTAAATTGTCTGTAAGAAAAGTAGTTTTCATCATGGATATTATTAAATATTCATTCCTCTCAAAGCCTTGAATCTTAAGGATCCCACAGAGCATGCTGATGAGCTTCTGAGTTACTCTGTGCAGCTGTGACTGGGGAGGCCCAGGGCAGTTCTCAGGCTAATGTCCTCGCTTTCAGGTTTGCGCTGCTCACTTACTCTTTCCTGTACACAGGCTCACTGTCTCAAGAGCTCAAGGTCATCACAGACCAGAAGACTGGGGGACAGCTCGGCTGTGGCACACGGTCCACATGGAATGTGGGATTTCACCAGCATTCCCACGTAGTGTGCTTGAGCGCACTGGCGTCCTTTTGTTGTGGAGGACGTCTGGAATTCTGTGGACATTTTCCTCTTCAGTAATCCATGAACATTTCTGTGCATTTCAGACGTCAATGGAAGATGTATTTAAATTGAAGAAAACTCAGCTTTTGCATGAAAGCTTTAGTATGAGAGTATGCTTTCTCAGAGTTTATAGATTTTGCTACATCTTAAAATATGAAATTTAGATATTTCATGTGTTTTGCTGAATTGGCTTCTTAGGGTGCTGTGTGCTCAGCATTTGTGAAACATGTTCATGATGACAGTATGCTGAGCGGTGTCTGACGTCTGCCGTCTGCCGCTCACTGTTTGCCTTAGTTGGTCACCATTCTCATTTCTGGTGGTAATCGGATATAAATGGCTGATTAAAAATGAGCCTGGCACGGTGGTGCATACTGTAGTCCCAGCTACTCAGAGACTGAGGCAGGAGGATCGCTTGAGCCCAGCAGATCGAGGCTGTAGTGTTTGCGCCGTGCTTGCCCCTGCAGGTCACCACTGCCCTCAGCCTGGGCAACACAGTGAGACACCACCATTTCAGAAAAGAAAGAAATGCTGCCTGTTATGTGTCTTGACTTTTTCATCCTTTTTATTGTCAAATATACATGTTAATTTTTTAAAATTGTCTTTTTGAAACTGTCATTTCAGAATTTCTAGAAGGAGGAGTTGGCCACGTTGAAATGTTATTTCGCTGCAACTATTTAGCTTTAGTTGGTGGTGGAAAAAAGCCAAAATACCCTCCCAACAAAGGTACAGTATTTGTGCACTTAAGAACCATGCCTCATTTGTATGTATTATGTCTGTGACATGTAAGATCGCCCCTGCTAGTCTTGTGCTCGTCACTGGGAAGAAGCTTCCAGAAAGAGTGCCTGGTCTTTGCACGGTTCTCAGAAGTGGTGTGTGGAAAGGATCATTTGTTCCCATTGTCATGGAACATTTGTGCTGGGAAGTGGGAAATAGGGGCCGGCCACACCTGTAGGTGGGTGTCATGAATGTCAAAAATTCATTCTGAAGCAAGATATAGGGGACTTGTTTTTTCCTACTGTGAGCCATTGACGTACAGAGACGTTAATTTTATAGCCACACTGAACACAGTATCAGTTTGGCTGTGGGTTTAGGTTGTGGAGGTGGGATGTGTGTGTGTGTCCGTGTGCATGTCTCTGGGTTGAAGGGACTGCAGTGTAAAAGGCCTGGCCCTTCAAAGGAAGGCGTAGAAAGCTTTACTGACCACATCGGCATACTTCACGCCAGCTTGAACTAGCTGTTGATTGGGGGACAGGCTTGAGGAGAGAGACGCAGGACGGAGGGTCGAACCCAGGGAGGAGGTGGATGGCGATCGGAAAGCTGAGCTGGGGACACGTCAGAAGGCCTTGAAGGATGCCAGGCGAGGGTGTGACCAGGAAAGAGATGCCGGCAGATGGGGTTTAGGGAAGATGTAGCCTAGAAGCCGTGCATGAGGTGGAGTGAAGAGCCATGAGAGGTTGGAGGCACAGTGGGAAGCCCTGTTCACAAGCAGAGGTGGGAAGAGAAGCAAGTGCTTCCTCGGCGGCAGACGCTGGGGAGAGGGAGGGGGTGAGGCCTGAGAAAGGACCTCTGGGTCTGTGAGGTGGGAACCCAGGGGATCCGATTCCAGAGGTTGGGGGTGGTAGGAGAGTAGGAGGGGCCGAGGGTGGGGAGGAGGAGGGCAAGCTCAGGTCTGGCGAGGCTGTACAGTTGGGACTAGGCCAGGCCGCCATAGCCCGGGGTCGCACGGCAGGCGGAAAGCTCTAGGTGACTCACCGGGGGCCCAGGCTCACAGGTCTCAGCGGAGTCCAGGAATATAGGGATAGAGTCCACGACAGGAGGGCTCGCGCCGATACATTGGTGTATGTTTTGGACTTAGGAACAGAGAAGTGAAATGGAAAGAGATTGTTGGCAGGAAAAACGGTGGAAGACCGGTCTGAGATGCCGGCCTCTGAGCAGGCTGCATGCTCAGGGTGTGGGGCTTGTCTGGGGCTTCGGGGCAGGGTGGAGAGTGCCCAGTAGCATAGCTCGGGGGAGCTGTGGCCTGCGCCTTGTGAGTCCTTGTCTTGTCAGGAAGACTTTCATTGGCCATTAAGGAGAGAAAAGAGCTTGCACTGGCAAGTCCAGAGGCCTGGGGTTCCCTCGGCAACATTGAGGGGCTGTCACGTGACCTCCTGGTGCTGTGGGGGAGGGGTGTGTTAGATAAACTCAGCTCATCTAGTTGTCCAAGAAGTGAGAGAGACTTAGAAATTATATAGACTTAGAAGAAAGCAATTTTTCAGCAGGCATTTGAGTAAATACATTTTTTGTAGAACCTAAAGGTAGTTTTTCTCAATTAATGAGGTTTATTTTTTAGAGCAGTGTTTTGTTCGCAGCAAAACTGAGTGCGAAGCAGAGTCCTGGCGCGCTCCTGTCCCCGTGTGCGCACAGCCTCTCCTGCCGTTTAAATCAGGGACCCTGCACCGACCCGTCGCTGTCACGCATAGCTGACTCCTGGTGTGCCTTCTGTGGGTGTGGACACGTGTCTGGTGTGGACATGTGTCTGGCGTGTCCACCCTGACATGTTAACAGTGTCCTACAGAAGAGCGTCTGTGCTCCGAAACTCCTCGTCGCCTGTTCATCTCTCCCTCCCCCAACCCCTGGCAACTGCATCTTTCAACTGTCTGCCTCATTTTGCCTTTTCTAGAACATCCTAGGTGGAATCATACAGCACGTGGCCTTCTCACACTGGCTTCTTTCCACTAGTAGCATGCATTTACGTTTCTACCGTGTCTTTGCATGGCCTGATGGCCCCTTTCTTAGTGCTAAGCGACAGCCCTGCCTACACGATCCACGGCTTGTTTGTTCACTCGGCTGCCGAAGGGTGTCTTGGCTGCTGCCAGGAGTCAGCCGTCGTGAGCACAGCTCTGTGAAGTTCTCGTGCAGGTTTTGTGGGGGGTGTGCCATTCAGGCGGATGTCGAGGCACATTCGGTTGCTGGGACATGTGGGACAAGCACATCCCCTTCTTGTCCGTTGCATCTGCTAGGATGTCCGGCACGGTGTCGAATGCCAGTGGTGAGAGGACATCGGCCCTGCCCCTGATCTAGCGGGAGGGCTTCACGTCTCGCCACCAGTGTGACGCCAGCTGTGGGTTTTGTAGGTGTTCTTTAACAAGTTGAGGAATTCCCCTTTTATTCCTAGTTTGCTGGGGGTTTTTTTTATCATGAATTTGATTTTTATCATGAATTGGATTTTCTCAGATTCTTTCCCTGTGTCTGTTGATGTGATCGTGCGGTTTTTCTTTTAGCCTGAAATGTCTTTATCTGGGCTTGGTATTAGGGAAATGCTGACCTCACAGAATGTTTCTGCTCTTGGAAAGAGATTGTAGAGAGTCCGTATAATTTCTTTGTTGTATATGTGGTTAGAATTTACCAGTGACCCCTTCTGGGCCTGGTGCTTTCTGTTTGGGGAGTTAATTATTGATTAATTTCTGTAATAGATATAGGCCTATTCAGATTGTTATTGCTAAAGACAGGTTTTTAAAAAAGAACATGGTCTGATTAGCATTTGTGAGATTAAGAATATAATTTTAAGATTCTAGGACCCTTGGTTTGTGACAAACAGGGAACATGGAGCTGTAGTGAGACTGAGATTGTGTTTGGCGTGCCAGGAAGGCCCTTTCTTTTTTGCCCATTTTTCTTTGGTAAGGAGTTGAGAGGGTGAAGGAAAGAGAATTCAGAATTTATTGATTAAAATTTTTTTTTTCTTTTATAGAGACGAAGTCTTGTGTTGCCTGGGCTGGTCTCTAACTCCTGGCCTCATGCAGTCCTCCTGCCTCGGCCTCCCAAAGTGTTGAGATTACAGGCGTGAGCCACTGTATCCTGATTATAATTTTTTATTTATGTCAGGAATTATATTAAAAGATAAACACATGAAATATTGGCATAGCACATTTTTGTTGTTTTTGTGGAAGCTGCATTTTATTTGAATATCCACTTGTTTTTATTGCTAACATGTATTTTTATATTGTAAACAAAAATAGAATCTTGTAGCACAGTACATTTAAAATTTTCAGGCTGGGTCCCGTGGCTCACGCCTGTAATCCCAGCACTTTGGGAGGCTGAGGTGGGAGGATCGCTTGAGCCCAGGAGTTGGAGACCAGCCTAGGCAATGTAGTGAGACCCCCTCTCTTCAAAAAAATAGAAAAATTAGCTAGGCATGGTGGTATACACCTGTGGTCCAAGATACCCGGGAGGCTGAGGCAGGAGGATCACTTGAGCCCAGGGGTTTGAGGCTGCAGTGAGCTATGACAACGCCACTGCACTCCAGCCTGGGCAACAGAGCAAGACCCTGTCTCAAAAAATAAAATGTCCAGTGCGCTTTGCAGTAGCAGTGGCCCACGGTCCTGCAGGAGGCCGAGTCTCCTGCCCTTCGCAGGAGGGGAAGTGACGGTTAGCCCTGGGCCCCGGGCGTCACGTCTGCTCACGTTTCTCTCGAGGGCAGGAATTAGTGCTGTGTGTTTCTCGGGCTTCATCACACTCTTCTCAGAAATTTTTGGAAGTGGAGCTCACCTGGATTAAAAGCCAGTGTCTGGCATGGTAACACCCTCATGTTGTTGTCTGCAGGGTTCTGTCTGGTCTGGGCCCGTCTGCGTTTATTCTGAATCGCAGGCTCTCTGCTGTTAGGTGGAGGAGCCAGAGAAAGTTTGATTTTGAATTAAAAAGGTTCAAAAGTAGCATTGTCCTTTCCCTGGGAGGTCACTGTTTTCAAGTCGGGTCACTGCAGGGCCCGGGCGACGGCGTGGTCTCAGGGCCCTGCGGAGGAGCAGGTTTCCCACGTTTGTGGTGAGCAAATGTGTTTCAATGGGGTGAGAACAAAACCTCATTTTCATTTTCGAATGGTTACAGATTATAATTAATCTTGAATAGTAAATAAATCTGATGTTATTTAATAATGAGTTTGGTCCTTTCTGGATGCTGGTATTAAATTATCTCTTGACTTGAAATGTAGGTCACTTAATCCATTCTGGCAAAACTCACCTAAATCCAGCCTCAGGGACATGTGTGAGTCAGTGTCGTGACCTTCAGGGGAAGACGCTCGCTCCCTTCCCCCTCTGCCCACGGCCCGGCTGTTGAGGGAGTCTCATTCCTCCCTTCACGCCCCTGGGTGGCCTTTCACGTGTCTGGACTGTGCCTCCCGTGTCCTCCAACAGCACAGTGCTGGTTGGAGTTCTCATCCGTGACCTGGCCTCAGAACACACACGTGTGATCTGCCCTGACGGAGCATCCAGGGTTAGCCGGCGAACGAGAAGGTTCTGAATTCTTGGAAGAGCAGGAACAACCCAGGAGGGTGGATGGAGTTAGGGCATTGCTGGTCCTGGTTTTCATCCATCTGATTTCACTTTAAAGTGAACCCCTTCTTTTCTTGATGCGGGCTTATCTCTAGCACTGACTTAGCAGTTAGTAGCCGTGGTCAGGCTGTTTTCTGGCTTGGGCAACTGGAATCAAGGGGGGGGGGTGGAGAGAGGGAGATGTTTGCTTGCAGTACCTAGGCACGGGCTGGCGGAGGGCAGGCGGGGAGGCGAATGTGTGCCCTGTGCGTGTGACACGGGTGGCCTGGGACCTGCTTGGCCGGGGACCACCTGACAGAGGAAGAGACGGCGGGAGGGCCGGGTGGGGTGGGGGACTCTGAGTCAAGGTGGTGCCTCTGCAGCCTCCTCACGATTTCATTCTTGAATTCTCTCTGACCCTTCAGTCATGATCTGGGACGACCTGAAAAAGAAGACTGTCATTGAAATAGAATTTTCTACGGAAGTCAAGGCAGTCAAATTGCGGCGAGATAGGTAGGTTTGGTATTGGTAGATTTTCTTAGAGAGTGGAATTTTACTTTCTCTAAAGATGATTTTTCTGTTGAAGGAAATGTTTAGGAAATGATGTATTAAATGTTGGCTGGGCGTGGTGGCACACACCTGTTATCCTAGCACTCCGGGAGGCTGAAGTGCAAGGATCACTCAAGGTCAGGAGTTCGAGACCAGCCTGAGCAAGAGTGACACCCCGTTTCTATTAAAAATAGAAAGAAATTACCTGGACAAGTAAAAATACATAGAAAAAATTAGTCGGGCATGGTGGTGCATGCCTGTAGTCCCAGCTACTCAGGAGGCTGAGGCAGGAGGATGGCTTGAGCCCAGGAATTTGAGGTTGCTGTGAGCTAGGCTGATGCTACGGCACTCTAGCCTGGGCAAGAGTGAGACTGTCTCAAAAACAAAAAGTGATGTATTAAATGTTGATGACAGTAGTTGAGTATGACCCAGGGGACGTAAGGGTTATTCCTCTTGCCTCAAGAAAGACAGTGAGTCTTACTGGCTTCCAGGGTCCTTTGGAGGTGAGTGGTTGGCGGCATGGGTGACAGGTGCCTGCCAAGGACCAGGCGGTGGCTCTTACATCCTTAGGAGTGCTGTCCCCACCTGGCAGGCAGAGCCGCGGGCGTGAGTTTTGAGCCTTGGATTGCCTCGCTGTTGGCCTGCGCTCTGCCAAACGCTGCCTCTCAGCAGTGTTTTCGTTGTGAGGGAATGGGGACATGGACCCTATGTCTGTTGAAAACAGCAGGTTCTGTCCGCCATCGCCTCAGGAGAACACGGAAGATTACCCTAGTACACTGTGCTTCATGTGGTTTTAACCTTTCATACTGCACGGAAATCCCCAAGACACGCCAGGGACTGCATGTTTTTGGGCAAACTGCACGTTATTTAATTCATCATAACTACAGATCATAATGCACTTTAGGTGTTGTTACAAAAACAAAGTTCCTAGTGCTTTTTTAACGTAGGGCACTGTGTAAAACATTTTCCTTTATGAAGAGGGTCCAAACAAGATTTACATAAGTATCTAGATTCACTCCTTTTTCCATGGGCAGCACAAACTCCGCAGGCTCTCATAGGAAATTTTTTCTTTCCGCACGCTGGAATACACGTAGGTTCGTGCTGCTTCATATCACCTGACAGCCTTTTGGGTGGATCTTTACGAGGTGCTCTCCTCGCACTCCCCGGGGAAGGGCTGGGCAGATTTGAGAAAACTCGTGAGTGGTCCGAAAGGTGTTAATTTGACAAGATTTGCATCTTATACTCTAAGTTTTCCATTTCTGTCCACTGAGGGAGAACAGGATGAGCACATTAATGTAAGCAGGGTTCTGTCATACCCCACATTCTTATGTGGGGTTGTCATTCCTAGTCACATCAATATTCTTTTTTCTTTTGAGATGTGGTGTCACTCTGTTGTCCCAGATGGAGCACAGTGGTGCCATCACAGCTCACTGCACCCTCCAACTCCTGGGGTCAAATGATCCTCCTGCTCAGCCTTCCGGATAGCTGGGACTACTGGCTAATGTTTTCTATTTCTGGTAGAGACGGGGTCTCGCTCTTACTCAGGCCGGTCTTGAACTCCTGAGCTCAGGTGAGCCTCCCTCCTCAGCTTCCCAGGGTGTTAGGATTACAGGCTTGAGCCACCATGCCCAGCTTTTGGGGTTTTTTTTGGAGACAGAATCTCTCTCAGCTACCCAGGCTGGAGCGCCCCTCCTGCCTCATCCCTCATCCTGCCAAAGTGCTGGGATTGCAGGCAGGAGCTGTTGCACCTGGCCCAGGTCAAAATTTAAAGTCCCTTGATAAGGCTCAAGCGTTTGCCTTATCAAAGATCTACTTTCAAGCTTTTATTTATCCAGAGTCTATCATATAAAAATAGAACTTGTGCTATATGTGTTTTACTTGGTTTTTAATCTAGATAATGTGCATTGATGTCTCTTTGAACCTCAGAGTTCTCAGGCCGACCTCTGCCCAGGTGAGAAGGGCGCACCGGCCGTGCACGCCCCACGCACAGTGGCCTCGGGCAGCCCCTGCTGACCTACTTCTAGAGGCCTCTCTCGCACAGGCCGCGATTGATGATTTGTATGTGGTCTTTCTGCTGTTCTGAGTTCCAGTGTGATAAGAACAGAAATCACAGTCTTTGAATTTTGACTTCTGATCCTGTTTTTCTTTGCAGAATTGTGGTCGTCTTGGACTCCATGATTAAAGTGTTCACGTTCACGCACAATCCCCATCAGTTGCATGTCTTTGAAACCTGCTACAACCCTAAAGGTGAGCAATTCAGACATGAGTGGTGCTGGGAAATGTGTCCGCTCAGGTGTGCACACCTGCCCTGTCCTGGGCACCCTGGCGGCAGTTGGGGGAGATGCCCCCGAGCCTCCCCCAGTCCCCGCAGCCCGGCGTCCTGGACTGGTGGTTCCGGAAGTGCCTCCTCACCCTCGCTGGGCGTGTGCGCATGGCCGGAGGCGCTGCTTCCCTCTGCTCCTTCCCACGCCGGCGGGACCCAGTTTCCTTAACTCTGAGGCCCCGCACCCTGTCTGGAGCCCTGAGCTCTGGTCTCAGGCATTTCCTCCCGCTGTCTTCCGGGTGAGGGCTGCTGGTGGCTGCCTTTGTTACTCCTCGTTGCTATCTTTTTAGATTTTCAGGGGTTTTCCCCAGCGTCATTGGAGTGTAATTTACATAAAACCCACTCATTTTAAGAATGTCATTTAATGAGTTGTAGTCACAGTCAGGCACAGGACAGTCCCCTCCCCGACCCTCGGGTTTTGCCTTTTGAGACGTATTTGGCGTCTTTCCTGCAGTGTAATATTTTCGATGTTCGTCGTGCTTCCTGTGTGTATTATTTTGCTCGTTTTTATTGCTGAGTAGCTTGCAGTGTGGAGACAACACAGCCGTTGATCTGTCCACCAGTCTGTCTGCCATTACGGGTGAAGGGTGCTGCAAATGCTCACATCCCACCTCTACGTGGATATGTCCTTCCATTTCTCCTGGGTAGACGCCGCAGTACAGTTGCTAGGGGGTACTGTATCGCTAGTTTAACTTCATATAATACAAAACGCTGCCAGTGCATTTTGCGGAGTGGCTGCCGCCTCGTGTTCACGGCAGTGAGTGCTCCGGCAGTGTTGGTCTTCCAGTGTTGGCATCCTCGCGGCCCTGCGGAGACACCGCGCCAGCGCTGGCTCCTGCTGGGGTCCCGCTCTGCCCGTCCCGAGGACTGGCGAGTGTGGGTGTGAGCGTGTGCTCACCGCCAGGCTTGTGTCTCTGGGGAAGCGTCTTGTTTCTCTTTAGCTGAGACGTAAGAGCTCTTCGTGTGTTCTAGGTACAGCCATTTGGCGTACTTTTGCACATATTTCAATCTGGTAGCATTCTTTACATGTTTCTTTTATATTTTCTTCTAGAAGTTTAGTAACTGTAGATCTTCATCTTCAATCCATTTCAAGTTAATTTGTAGATTGGCATGAGGTAAAGGCCCAAGTTCTTTTTTTTCTATGTTTGTATCTAATTTTGAGTGTCATTTGTTGAAAAGACTATTTTTTTTTTATTTCGGCATATTATGGGGGTACAGATTTTAAGGTTTCAATAAATGCCCATTTCCCCCCCCAAAAGTCTGAGTCTCCATATGACCATCCCTAGATGGTACACATCTCACTCATTATTATGTATATACCGCTCCCTCCCCTGCCCAATACCTATTACTGTAGTACCTATGTGTCCACTTAGGTGCTACTCAGTTAATACCAGTTTGCTGGAGAATATATCTGGTGCTTGTTTTTCCATTCTTGGGATACTTCACTTAGTAGTATGGGTTCCAGCTCTAACCAGGAAAATATAAGATGTGCTATATCACCATTGTTTCTTAGAGCTGAATAGTACTCCATGGTATACATATACCACATTTTATTAATCCATTTGGATTGAGGGCACTTGGGCTTGTTCCACAGCCTTGCAATTATGAATTGTGCTGCTATAAAATTCGAGTGCAGGTGTCTTTTTTGTAGAGTGTCATTGGATCATTTGGTAGATGCCCAGCAATGGGATTGCTGGATCAAATGGTAGATTCACTTGTATCACTTTAAGGATCTCCATATTGCTTTCCACAGAGGTTGAACTAGTTTGCAGTCCCACCAGCAGTGTAGGAGTGTTCCTCTCTCTCCGCAACCACGCCAGCATTTATTGTTTGGAGATTTTTTGATAAAGGCCATTCTCACTGGGGTTAAGTGATATTTATTGTGTTTTTTTTTTTTTTTTTGAGACAGAGTCTCGCTTTTGTTGCCCAGGCTAGAGTGAGTGCCGTGGCGTCAGCCTAGCTCACAGCAACTCAAACTACTGGGCTCAAGGGATCCTCCTGCCTCAGCCTCCCAAGTAGCTGGGACTACAGGCATGTGCCACCATGCCGGCTAATTTTTTGTATATATTAGTTGGCCAATTAATTTCTTTCTATTTATAGTAGAGACGGGGTCTCGCTCTTGCTCAGGCTGGTTTCGAACTCCTGACCTCGAGCATCCGCCCGCCTCGGCCTCCCAGAGAGCTAGGATTACAGGCGTGAGCCACCGCGCCCGGCCTTATTGTGGTTTTGATTTGCATTTCTCTGATGATTAGAGATGTTGAGCATTTCTTCATATGTTTGTTGGCCATTCTTCTGTCGTCTTTAGAAAATTTCTGTCAAGTCCTTTGCCCACTTTTTAATGGGTTATTTGATTTTTTCTTCCTATTTTCGTGAGTTCTAAGTATATTCTAGTTATCAGTCCTTATCGGATGCATAGGATGCAAAATTTTCTCCCATTCTGTAGGTTGTCTGTTTACTTTCATGACTATTTCTTTGGCTGTGCAGAAGCTTTGTATTGATCATGTCCCATTTATTTATTTTGTTGCTGCTGTGATTGCCTTTGGGGACTTCTTCATAAACTCTTTGCCCAGGCCAATGTCTAGGAGAGTGTTTCCAACTTTTTCCTCTAGAGTTCTAATAGTTTCATACCTTAGGTTTAAGTCTGTTATCCAGCGTGAGTTGGTTTTTGTGAGAGGTGAAAGGTGTGGATCCTGTTTTAGCCTTCTACAGGTGGCTATCCAGTTTTCCAGCACCATTTATTGAAGAGGATTCTTTTCCCCAGCGTATGTTTTGTCTTTGTGTCAAAGATTAGATGGCTTATATGAGGATGGTTTATATCAGATTCTCACATCTGTTCACTGGTCATATTCCTATTTTGTGCCAATACCATATTGTTTTATTACTACAGCTTTGTAGTATAGTTTGATATCTGGCATATTAATGCTCCCATTTGTTTTTGTTGCCTAGAATTGCTCTTGATATTCGGGTCTTCTTTGGTTCCATACGAAGCGTAAATTATTTTTCTATATCTGTGAAGAATGCTGATGGGATTTTATAGGTTTGCATTGAATCTGTAGATCAGTTTGGGAGTATAGACATTTTGATGATATTGAGTCTGCCGATCCAGAGCATGGTATGGATTTCCATCTGTTTACATCCTCTGCTATTTCCTTCCTCAGTGTTTCATAGTTCTCCCTGTAGAGGTCTTTTACGTCCTTGGTTAAGTATATTCCTAGGTACTTTAATTTCTTTGTTGCTATTGTGAAGGGAATTGAGTCTTTGATTTGGTTCTCAATTAGATTGTTGTTGGCGTATATGAATGCCCTGATTTCTGTGTATTGATTTTGTATCCTGAGACTTACTAAATTCATTGATCAGTTCCAGGAGTTTCTGGTGAATCCTTGGGTTTTCTAGATACAATATCATATCATCAGCAAACAGTGAAAGTTTGATCTCTTCTGCCCCTATTTGGATACCTTTGATTCCATTTTCCTGTCTGATTGCTGTAGCCAAGACTTCCAGTACTATGTTGAACAAAGTGGAGATAGTGGGCAGCCTTGTCTGGTTCCAGTTCTAAGTGGGAATGATTTCAATTTTTCCCATTCGTATGATGTTGCTATGGTCTGTCATATATGGCTTGTATCATTTTTAGGTATGTCCCTTCATGCCTATTTTTCTTAAGTGTTCATGTCATAGAAGGGTGTTGAATTTTGTCAAAAGCTTTTTCTGCATCTATTGAAAGAATCATGTGGTCTTTGTTTTGCTTCTGTTATGTGGTGAATTGCATTTATAGATTTACGTATGTTGAACCATCCTGCATCCCTGCGATGAAGCCCACTTGGTCATGATGGATTATTTTTGATAAGTGTCTGATTCGGTTAGGTAAGATTTTGTGAAAATTTTGCATCTATATTCATTAGGGATATTGGTCTGTAGTTTTCTTTTTTGTTGCATCCTTTCCTGGTTTTGGTATCAGAGTAATATTCGCTTCATAAAAGGTGTCGGGGAGGTTTCCGTTCTTCTCGATGTTGTGGAATAGTTTCTGCAAGATAGGTACTAGTTCCATTGTAAGTATGGTAAACTTCAGGTGTGAAGCCATCTGGACCGGGATTTCTTTTTTAGGGAGATTTTTAATTGCTGTTCTTATTTCAGCTGTTGAGATTGGTCTGTTCAGGGATCATTTTCTCCTGGTTGAGCCTAGGGAGGCTGTGTGTTCTAGAAATTTGTCCATTTCCTCACATTTTTCAGTTGTGTGCATAAAGATTTTGTAGTATTCATAAACTGTATCTTGTATCTCTTTTGGATCAGTTTGATATCTCCTTTTTTATTCCTAATGGAGCTTATTAGAGATTCTCTTTTCTGCTTTTCGTTAGCTTAGCCAATGGTGTGTCAATTTTGTTTATTTTTCAAAGAACCAACTTTTTGTTTTTAATCTCCTGAATAGCTTCCCGTTTTCAATTCGTTTAGTTCTGATTTGATCTTGTTGATTTCACTTCTTCTGCTGGGTTGGGTTGGTCTGTTCCTCTTTTCCAGCTCTTTGAGTCGTTCATTAGATTGTCTATTTGTGATCTTCTTGTCTTTTGGTTATAGGCATTTATGGAGATAAACTTTCCTCTCAGAACTGCTTTAGCTGTGTCCCAGAGGATTGATAACTTGTCTCTCCATTTCGTTTTCTTCATAGAACTTTTTTTTCCGTCTTGATTTTTCATTTACGAAGTAATCATTTAGTAGGAGGTTGTTTAATTCCACGTTTTTGTTAGAAATGTGAGTTTGTGTTAGGGTTGATTTCTAGTTTTATTCCACTGTGATCTGAGAAGTACATGTATGATTTCTATTTTTTAAATTTCTGAGATTTCTTTGTGTCCTAGGATATGGTCAATCTTAGAGAATGTCCGTGAGCTGATGAGAAGAACGTATATTCAGTGGATTTGGGTAGAATGTTCTGTAGATGTCTGTCAGACCAATTGTTCTAGAGTTTTGTTTAAGTCCATTATTTCTTTATTAATTTTCTGTTTGGAGGATCTGTCTCGTGCCGTCAGTGGGGTATTGAAATCTCCGGTGATTATGGAGTTGCTATTAATCCATTTGCTTAGCTCCAGTAAGGTTTGCTTTATGAATCTGGGTGCACCTAAGTTGGGTGCATTATATTTAAAATGTTATCTCTTGTTGGCTGTGCCCTTCACCATTATATAATGACCCTCTTTGTCTTTACTACTTTTGTTGGTTTAAAAACTAAATCGTCTGAAATTAGAACTGCCACACCAGCTTTCTTTTGGCTTCTATTTGCTTGGAATATTGATCTCCACCCTTTTTATTTTAGTCTATATGCATCCTTGCAGTTAGATGTGTTTCTGAAGACAGCATATACTTGGCCTATATTTCTTTCATTCAGCCAGCCTATGTCTCTTGAGTGGAGAGTTTAAGCCATTCACATTTATTGAGAGAACTGAGTAAGGTAGATTACTGATCATTCTGTTGGTTGGATGTTGTTGCTATGATTTCTGTCTTGAGCCATTGTAATATCTGGCCTTTAATATCTTTGGGTTTGGTGTTTTTATATTTGTAGGTTATTATTATGATGTTCCGTGCATAACGCTGTTTTAAGTACTTCTTGTAGGGCTGGTCTTGTCTTGGTGAATTCTCTGAGCCTTTGCTTGTCTGAGAATGTTTTTATTTCTCCTTCATATACGAAGCTTAGTTTTGCAGGGAATAATATTCTAGGCTCGGCATTGTTTTGTTTCAAAAGAGTGAGAATGGGGCCCCAGTCTCTCCTTGCTTGTAAAGTCTCAGTAGAGAAGTCTGATGTTATTCGAATTGGCTTTCCCTTGTATGTTACTTGCTTCTTTTGTCTTACAGCTCTTAGAAGGGCCTCTTTAGTTGATACTTTGGTCAGTCTGATGACTGCATGTCGTGACGTCTTCCTGTTTGCGTTGAATCTCCCAGGGTCCTCTGAGCTTCTTGAACTTGTATATCAAGATTTTGAGCAAGCCTGGGAAATTTCTCTATTATATCTTCAAATAGCTTGTCCAACCCTTGAGTGTTGTCTTCTTCCCTTCTTGTAACCCTATGACCTCACATTAGGTTTCTTCACATAATCCCACAGCCTTTTGTAGACTTTGCTCTTTTCTCTTGTTTCTCTGCTCTATTTCTGTGACTGATTTATTTAATTGGAGGGTGTTATCTTCAAGCTCTGAGATTCTTTCTTCTGTTTGATCTACCCTGTTCTTGAGACTTTCCACTGTATTTTGTAGTTCCTTGAATTGATTCTTCATTTCCAGGAGTTCAGTTACACTTTTCTTCATTGTGTCTATTTCTTTCCCATATCCTGGAGACTTTTTGTGGTTTCTTTGTGTTGGTTATTGAGTAGTTGTTGCAGCTGGGTGAGTGTTCTTATGATCCACATACGAAATTCCTTTTCTGTCATATTGTTGCCTGATTTTGGTGGTGTCCGTTTCTAGGGGCTGGTGCTCCTCTTTGGGGGTGTGTTTTCCGTTTGGTTCTTCATATTTCCTGAGTTCTTTCGCTGATTTCTTCCCATGTCGATCAGTTGTTGTTTCTTTCTTAGTTATTGTTTGGGTATTCACACACCTTGTTTAGTTTCTGAGGCGTTAGGTGGTGCCTGTGGGTGAAATTGGACCACTCCCTGTATATTGAGTCAGTGGGTGCCGTGGAAAGGCTGTGCAAGATGCTGTCCCTGTCAGTAGGTGGCGTTTGCTTGGAGAACAGGCTATGCTGTTGATTTTGTGTCCTGTTATCAGCTCTTGTTCTGGGCGAGCTGGTTGGGTAAGCCTGCCCTCAGGCCGTTAGCAGGGTCAAAGTTCTGTTCTTGCTTCCAGGAAAGCTGTCAGGGCGGGTGGAATGGTCCCACTCAGCCAGAAAGTCTAGGGTGGGGGTGGGGCTGTCTGAGACCCGCAGTCTGGAGCGGGCCTCGCTTCTTTCCACCCTCCCAACTCCGCAGCTTCCTGGCCTCTGCCACCAGGCCTCCCGGACTGTGATGCCGGCGGGGAGTCCTGCATAGAACGCCACCTGGGTTGGCGCACGGCCTCCTCCTGGGAGGAGGGTTGCCCTCTAGGATGCCGATCCGGCCCTGGAGGCACACACACCTCAGTAGGCTGTTCACGTATAACCCCTCTGTGCCCTGGGCAATGCTAGCCCTCGGTGCAGGGGATCTGGTCTGCAGGTCCGACCTCTGAGTCCCAGAGTTCAAACTGTATCCCCACCAGGGAGAGGATTTCCGGTCCCAATTCACCCACAGGGAGCCCAAGCCTCTGAGTCGGCACCGTTCTCCTGGGAACACGGTGCCAGCAACACCTGGGAGTGCAGGCGGGTAGGGAGCTCACAGTCTGAGTTCCCCTGAGTCAGGTGTAGGGTCCCAAACTGGAAGGTCCCGTTTCCTGGAGGTGCCTCTGGCTGGTGGCTGTATTGTCTCTCTGGGCAGCCGCAGGTATGGTCGGGGGAAGGGAGGAGGAGGCAATATGGCGCCTGCCGCGCGGCTCGGGTCTGTGCACACGGAGGTGCCCGAGGAACTTGGGAACCTGGTGCCACGTCTGCTACAGGCTCACCGTTGGCAGGCGGCGGCGGTCTCTGGGCTGGTGTCCGCAGGTCTCTCCACCCGCTGGGAGCCACCAGCAGTCCGAATGCAGGGGAGGGGAAACAGCAATCCACTACCCTTGCCGCTGGTCTCCGGGCTGCTCCGGTGGTCTCAGCCCCAGTTCTCCTCGGGTGCCAGCCCTCGTGGAGTCTCCCGGGGTCTCAGGTACCCCTCCTTCCGGCCCTTGTCCTCTGTATGCTCGTCTTCTTGCTTCTTTCCTCTAATTTCTGCTAGAATCTGTCTTTTCTGCAGAGACACTCTGTCTGGCGGTGTTATTCGTCCGCCATCTTGCTCCGCCCCCCGAAAAGACTATTTTTTTTCTGCATTTGTGTTACCTTAGTATCTTTGTTTTGTTAAATAAGTGTATTTTTCAGAGACTCTATTCTGTTCCATTGCTCTGGATTTCTGTTTTTATGCCAGTCCCGCCTGGCTTGGTTCCTGGAGCATTAAAGTAAACTCTGAAGTTAGGTAATGTGAGTCTTCCAGTCTTGTTCTCATAACAATTCTGTTGGCTACTCTGGGCCCTTTGTTTTTCTTATAACTCGTAGTGTCAGCTTGTTTACTTGTGATTGTAGCGAGTGTGTAGGTGAATTTGGTGTTGACAGTACGGAACTTTCCAGCCCAGGATCACGGCCCGAGAGTCATCCGCCAGGTCGTCTTTGGTTCCCTTTGCGAAACGTCGTAGTCTCGTGCCGAGGTCTTATGTGTCTGTAGTTAAATTTATTCCTAAGTATTTTTGTGTTTTATGCTATTGTTAATGGAGTACTCTTTAAGTTTTATAATTTTGACACGACAGGCAATTGACAGAGTTGTTCAGCAAATGTTTTTGGTTGTGAGGGCGTCTCACGGCAGGCAGCTTAGCTTGGGTGTGTTATACCCTTTACAATGAAGAGTCTTTAAATTGATTTTGTGATTCTGATACAAATGAAAACCCATGAATAATCATCACTATTTTTTCTGAGGACTTGAGGGCAGGGAGTAGGTTTCGATTGTGGGAAATCAGGCTCTGAAGTCAGCTGTCATTTCTGACATGTTTCCTGTCTCTTTAGGCCTCTGTGTCCTGTGTCCCAATAGCAACAACTCCCTCCTGGCCTTCCCCGGCACACACACAGGCCACGTGCAGCTCGTGGACCTGGCCAGCACGGAGAAGCCGCCCGTAGACATTCCCGCACACGAGGGCGTCCTGAGCTGCATCGCGCTCAGCCTGCAGGGAACACGGATCGCAACCGCGTCTGAGAAAGTAAGCGTGTGCCCCCGCCGTGTTGGCGGGCGGCATTCTCTGCAGAAAGCCTGCCTTTCTTTGTCTCAGGGTCACAGGGGGGTCAAGCTGGCCCAGTCTGGAGCTGCCTTGGCGAGGCCCGTGGTCCTGATGGTCCTGTCATCTGGAGGCCCAGGCCAGGTCTTCACAGGCCATCTGTGCCAGAGAACCAGTTTCATTTCCAATTCTTTACAGACCAATACATTATAAAGTGTGATACAAATAAGTAACTTTTTGACCACTTCGGTACGAGTGTTGACTATAGTTGATAACCACAGATGAACGCGCACAGCGACTTTAGCCAACAGCCGTGATATGACTTTTCTAATTTTTCATTTATCAAAATAAAATTGTGAACATTTAAAAATAACGTAATGAAAACATGTACATGTTACCTATCCTGATTTACATTACAAGTAAAGCTGCCTGTGAAATAAAAACAAGCTTTCAGTGCTTTAAAGCTTTCCTCGTCACACAAGAGCAAAACGGACTCATCAACAGCTCAATGACTGTGAGTGCCGGCTGTGGGCAAGGCTTCGAGGCTGGTGAGCGCCGTACCGAAGTGGTTAAAGAAAAAAAGCAGAAAGTACCTGCTCCGGTTTCTTACCATTTGAATCAGCAGATGTAAAAGTTACTTGCCCTGCTGTCCTGAACATTCCAGAACCCTCCCTGCAGTGTTGTCTTTGTAGCCCAGCAACAGCAGCCACCTGCCTGGGTGTGGTTTAGCTTGCCTGTTGTAAAAAAAAACCCCATTTTTAAAAATAATTTAAAATCTTGGGTTCTTTTACCTTTTTTTTTTTTTTCTTTTTTTTTAAAGGGAGGAACTTGATGCATTTAGCTGGACTTTTACCTTCTTTATCCTGAATTCAGACTTTCACCAAAAAAAGAAAAAAGACATCTTTTACTGTAGTTTCCATTCGAGACTGCCAGCCTGTGTCACTGTGCAGGAAATGACAAGCTGTCACATGGGCACAGGCCAGCAGTCGTGTCCGGCCGTGGATGCTGTCGCTGAAGTCGGGGCAGCAGGGAGCCTGGCCCGGCCGCCCCGCAGGGCACCTGGGGCTGCTGAGAGGGGCCGAGGGCGAGTCCCGCTCCCTCCTGGGAGTCGGCTGAGAAGAGGTTGAGTTATTCTTAGATACTTTTCTTTAGAATGCTGTTATACTAGCAACGACATCATGTAAATTCATAAATAGGATTTCCAGTATTCTCAGTATGTATCTTATCCTTTTATTACCGTTAGTCTCCATCCTCCCCTCCCCACGACCTTTAAGAGTCCCGATTGCGGGCGTGGACTGTGCTTTCCTGCTGGGTTTCGCAGCTCCGTGCCAGCGGGTGTAAGCGGGTCGCTGCAGACTGCACGGTGTCTGTTTCCCTCCCCGTCCGCACGAGCGGGTCCCTGCTGCAGCCCAGGAGTGGAGCTGCTGGGTGGGGGACGTGAGAGTTTCCTGTTTCCGTGTGTGCGCTCAGGTAGCTTTCCACAAAAGGTGCCACAATTCACACTGTCCTGGTTACCAGCATCAGCTGAGGAGTCCTCCATGCTGGGGGAAACGTAAGGAACAAGGACAGAGCTCTGAGCCCCTCCCTTGGGCCTCGGGAAGTCAGCGTAGCCAATAGGGACCTCCTGGAGTCAGTCGCTTGGTTTGTCTTGCCTCATCTTTCTGACGACAGGTCAGAGCGCTCCTCTTCCTCACTGCGCAAGACAGAGTTGAGAGGGCGTCGGCCAGGCCAGAGGCCCCGGGTCAGCCGGGCCACCCTACCAGGAGTGGTTTCCTGAACCCCTCTGACCACCGCCCAGGGCCGCGGGCCTAGGAGCGGCCAGCCCGTTCTCGGGGAGCAGCTCTAAGTGGGTAGACGGGGAGACGCCGAGTGGATGGCGGGCGGGTCTGGCGAGGGTGGGGACTGTGAATTCGCGTCGTGTCAAATGCTGGCTAAAACACTGTGACTCTTTGGTAATGAAACACTTCACTGTTTTTCAAAGGGGACCCTTATAAGAATATTTGATACTTCATCAGGGCATTTAATCCAGGAGCTACGGAGAGGATCTCAAGCAGCTAATATTTACTGGTAAGGAAATACCCCACCCAGAGAAGAGCCGCTGCCCTGGGTCGGCGGCACAGACATGGGCTGTGGGATTTGAGGGGTGTCAGGAGCAGCTACCCCATCCCAGGAGGTGGAGGGGCTGGGCTCAGGGTTTTTTTTTTTGAGACAGGGTCTTGCTCTGTTGCCCAGGCTGGAGTGCAGTGATGCGATCACAGCTGTCTGCAGCCTCCAACTTCTGGGCTCAAGCAATCCTCCCGCCTCAGCCTCCCAAAGTGCTAGGACTACAGGTGCCACCACACCTGGCTTGGGAAAGGTGGTTTTTTTTTGTTTGTTTTGTTTTTCATTTATGATTTCATCAATTTATTTATTTATTATTATTTTTTTGTTTTTTGTTTTGAGACAGAATCTCATTTTGTTGCCCAGGCTAGAGTGAGTACCGTGGCGTCAGCCTAGCTCACAGCAACCTCACACTCCTGAGCTCAAGCAATCTTCCTGCCTCAGCCACCCGAGTAGCTGGGACTACAGGCATGCGCCACCATGCCCGGCTAGTTTTTTCTATATATATTAGTTGCCCAATTAATTTCTTTCTATTTATAGTAGAGACGGGGTCTCGCTCTTGCTCAGGCTGGTTTCGAACTCCTGCACTCGAGCAATCCGCCCACCTCGGCCTCCCAAAGTGCTGGGATTACAGGCGTGAGCCACCGCGCCCGGCCAGAAAGGTGGTTTTTAAATTTGGTGCCTTGAATATGCAAAGTTTGAAGTCTTCTAAGCAGGCGCACAGCTGTGCGGATCAGGTCTCTGGACGGTGTCTGCACAGACTGATACTGATCTCGGTCCGGTGTTCTCTGCAGCATCAACTTCAACCAGGACGCGTCCCTGATCTGTGTGTCCAGTGATCACGGCACCGTGCACATTTTTGCAGCTGAAGATCCAAAAAAGAACAAGCAGTCTAGGTGGGTTTTCGGAAGTCTGGTGATGGGAAAAGCCCAAGTTCCGAGGACTAGACTGCTTCAGTGAGGACCAACTTAACATGAAGTCAGGCTGGAATCTTTTCCTCTAACATAAATTTGATTTTTATTGGGTTTGAAAATCAGCGCCGACTGTTTGCTACTGAACCAGTGGCCTCATTCCTTCCTGTCCTTGGCTCCTTAGAACGTCTGGTGACGGTCCAGGCGTTTCGGATGATTGACAACTTAGTCCTGAACCCCGACTAGTTTCCGTTGTTCCCTGTGTGTTTGGAGGGTTAGTCTGACGGCCCGAGAGGCCCGTGCCCTTCAGCAGTGCTGACGAGCCTAGTTCTGGTACAGAGCCACTCTAAGGACTGCGTGTGGGGGGTGAGAAAGAAAACCTTAAAAGCTAAAATAGAACTTAAAAAGTCATTAAGGCTAAAACTGTTGAGGAGAACCCAGCAGCATCAGGGTCTGAGCAGCGGCTCTTCAGCGTCGCTGGGCTTTGCCTCCTGAGTGCAGCCACCCTTTCTCCCCTGTCGCTACAGCTTGGCGTCAGCCAGTTTCCTCCCGAAATACTTCAGTTCCAAATGGAGCTTCTCCAAGTTCCAGGTTCCCTCAGGCTCTCCGTGCATTTGTGCCTTCGGAACGGAGCCCAACGCCGTCATCGGTGAGTCGCGTTCCCGGGAGGACCACCCTCCTGAGCCCCCACCGGGTCCGTCCACCCGGCCTCGGGCCAGCGCCCCTCTCGTGCGTGTCGCGCCCCTCCCCGTCTGCACGTGCCCCTCCCCCAGAGCGCCCTGGGAAATCCGGACGGGTCCTCCGGTGTGTGTAGAGAGAACCCGATTTCTGACCCTGGTGGAGCACGCGTGTGCTGGGGGGAGGGGCTCCTCGGTGGCCCCGGGGGCCGTGTGCAGCCAGTCCAGAGGGACTGTTGGCTGTTCACTGTGGGGAAGAAACACGTGAGTAAGACGGTCTCCTTCCGCCCCAGCGATCTGCGCGGACGGCAGCTACTACAAATTCCTCTTCAACCCCAAGGGGGAGTGCGCCCGCGACGTCTACGCGCAGTTCCTGGAGATGACCGACGACACGCTGTGAGCCGGACGCGGGCGAGGACGCCGCTGGCTGCCACCCTCGGGCTCCCGCGCCCTGCGGGCCTCCCAGGGACCTTGGTCTCGAAGCCATACGTGGTCGTCTGCTTTGCTTAGCAAGACTCCCGTTCCAGTATTACAGAGAACCGCCACCAAGACACCAGATGCCCGCGCCTGCGCCCACGGGGCTCCACGCGGGGCCGGTGGAGGAAGACTCACCGCCGTCTGCCTTTGCGCCAGATTCCGTCATTTTCGCCGCGTCTGCAGTGGGGAAGGGACAGGCGTGCCAGCGTGGCTCACGTCGTGGCAGATCCGCGCAGAGCACCAGCAGCCTTAGGACGGGGACGGGCTCCTCCCGTCTGAGCGTGGAGAGCAACGTGGCCGTCGGAACACGCTGGGCGTTTGCCTAGCCCCGCCCCCAGCACGTCTCTGCCCGTGGCGGCTGTGCGCCCGCACGTGGCCGTCCCACTGTCACAGCGAGTCCTCGGGCTTGAGGGGCGGCCGGGTCTCCCGGTTAAGTTCTGGGTTTCCCTGTTCCATGTGGGGAACACGCAGACTTTAAAAGCCCGTCACAGAACGTGCCACTTAACGTAGCAGGACGTTTCCACCACGCAGTGCCCGAGCGTCCTTGGGCAGTTCCTGTCGCGTGGTGGGAAATGCCTCGGCCAGCCTGTCGTCACTCCCTGTCACCGTCTGTCCCCCACACGTCAGAATAGCTGTACACCAACGTTCTGGGAAGGAGGCACAGAACTTTTTCTTTTTTTAACATTTGGTAACTAAAGTAGGTTATGGGCTCTATGTTCTCAACTACTTACGGTATATATTTAATTTTCTTAAATTCCCTTTAAAGCAACTTCATTTTACGGTTTTGGTTTTAAGCTGCAAACATTAAAATCTGCAGAGCAGCAGGTTCTCTGTTTTGCCAGTTCCTTTACTGTCATGTAATCAACTAACTTTGTATGTGGGTTTTGATGTAAAGTATGCATGTTACTTTTATGTGTATTTAATCATGAAGTTTAATTTTGCACACTTATTTGTAATGTTTCTTTTAAATAAAAGTGACTAATTTTGTTGTACTCCGCGCCCGTGAAGGGAACTAAGAACTGTGTGTCACAAGCCCAGTCTCTTCCCCTTGTCGAGAGTCTGGCTGGGCTGTCGGCTCCACACACCTGCCAGACCTGGCGGTCTGGGGCCGGCCAGGGTGGAAGCTTCCTGACGCCGCCACCTGTGCAGGTCACAGCCCGGGCTGGGGAGGTGCGCACTCCCCCGAAGAGCCTCAGCGCGTCTAGAACAGGTGAGCTCGAGTCCACGAGGGTTGCATGTGGCTCCAGGACAGCATGAGTGGACAAATCCCACCGCAGTTTCCACGCATGCCGGCCTCGGCCTCCTCTGTGAGCTGCCTGGGCAGGCAGGGGGCTGGCCCGGCCCCTCGGTTCCTGACACTTAGTCCCGACTGCTTGCGGGCGTGGGAACAGGAGGATCCTTCCCATTTGTATACCTGTCGGCTTGCCCCATTTGTATACCTGTCGGCTTGCAAACATGAGACTAGAGAGTGAACCTGCGGGGAGGAGGGCGAGTTTTCTCGAGTGCACAGAAACTGAGCCGTGCGGCCAGTGCACCAGGATTGCAGGGCGAGGGACGGGCCAGGCCTGGACACGGGCCCCGGCACATCCCGCTGGCATCCACAGCCTGGGAAGGCGGCTGCGGCCATGCCAAGGGGGCGTGCTCTTCCCTTAGGCGTTTGCTCCAGGCCACTGTGGCGTGGGGACAGGGCCCGCAGTTTGTCTCAGGCGCCACCTGCTCTCCCCAGGCCTGTGCTTTTCTCCACCGCTCTGAAGAGCGTCCATGGGGAGGAGGGCGGTGTTCCTGCTGCCGGGAGCCTGGGTGAGGCCCGTGGGCGCACTCGGCTGAGCAGAGACGACTCTTAACTGGGGTCCGCTGGTCTGGAGCGTCACGCAGAGGTAGCTCATGGGCTGCGCCGAGGCCTCCCAGGGAAGCAGGACCCCCGTTTGCTGGCCTGTTTTTCCAGCTCCTTCCAGGGTGGGCGTCAACTCCCAGGTCTCCTGCCTCGTTTTCCAGGCACGTGGGCGCATCTCGCTTGCCCTTCCCTCCGACAGTCCGCCCCAGCCACCCTCAGCCTCCGCAGGGGTGTGACAACATGGCCACCTGCACCTGCCTGGGCTGAGCCCCGCCCCTCCCACCACTTTATAGCTGGTAGCACAGCTGCCTGCAGCCTCATTACATCTGTGCTTTCTTTTTTCTTTGAGACAGAGTCTCACTCCGTTGCCCAAGCTAGAGTGCTATGGCGTCAGCCTAGCTCACAGCAACCTCCAACTCCTGGGCTCAGGCGATCCTCCTGCCTCAGCCTCCCAACTAGACTACAGGCATGCGCCACCATGCCCAGCTAATTTTTTCTATATATATTAGTTGGCCAATTAATTTCTTTCTATTTATAGTAGAGACAGGGTCTCGCTCTTGCTCAGGCTGGTTTCGAACTCCTGACCTTGAGCAATCCGCCTGCCTTGGCTTCCCAGAGTGCTAGGATTACAGGCTTACAGGCGTGAGCCACTGTGCCCTGCCGTCTTCATTTCTTTTTTTTTAGACAGAGTCTCACTTTGTTGCCCAGGCTAGAGTGAGTGCCGTAGGTAGCGTCAGCCTGGCTCACAGCAACCTCAATCTTCGGGGCTCAGCGATCCTCCTGCCTCAGCCTCCCGAGTAGCTGGGACTACAGGCATGTGCCACCATGCCCGGCTAATTTTTTGTATATATATTTTTAGTTGGTCAATTAATTTATTTCTATTTTTGGTAGAGACGGGGTCTTGCTCAGGCTGGTTTCGAACTCCTGACCTTGAGCAATCCGCCCGCCTCGGCCTCCCAAAGTGCTAGGATTACAGGCGTGAGCCACCACGCCCGGCTTTATTTCTTAATTTGTTCTACATATTTTTAGTTGGCCAATTAATTTGTTTCTATTTTTAGTAGAGACGGTCTCACTCTTGCTCAGGCTGGTCTCGAACTCCTGACCTGGAGTGATCCTCCTGCCTTGGCCTCCCAGAGTGCCAGGATTACAGGCGAGAGCCATCGTGCCCGGCCTGCATTTGCACTTTCTGCAGCCAGAACAGGCTTCCAGGTCCCAAAGGTCACCTCACATGGCTCGGTCCCTCACCTCTTCAGTTCTTTGTGTAAAAGGCATTTAATCACATTTTTAGAAGATTTTTGTGCTGTAGTTTCTCTCTTCAAAATGGATTGGAAAATACTTAGGATCAGAAAACGAAATGTTACTCGTAAAGCAAAGAGCATACAGGAAAATATAGTTGTAAGCAAAATTGCTGTGTTTCTACCTCCAGGGAAGGCTACTCTTGGAGAGCCCACACCTGGGTGCAAAATTTATAAGTTTAAAAGGCATTTAAGGTCTTGTTTTTAACTTTAAAGCTCACGAACATGCCAAGGCATTTCAACTGCCCAAGCAAGTACGCTTGTTTGTATTTTTGGCTCTTGCAGTTTAGAGATGGAAATCACGTTTACGCACTTGTCCAGTTATTTCTTCGGGAAAAGAGAAACGTAACTGCTGAGTCGATTACAAACACATGTACGTATGATCGGTGAGGAAAAAAGATCTCCAGTGTCTAGTCGGGTTGAACACTTTGGAATACATTTGTTAGCCATCTGTTAATTATTTTCTGAACTGTTGTACGTGTCTATACTTATCAGTACATTTTGTCTTCTTTTTGTTCATAAAGGCTTTTTTATGTAAAAACTAGTTTTTTCTGCCTTGTGTTAAACAGAGTTGGAGTTTTTTACTTAACTGTATAGTACCTTTGAATTTCTTTCTTGAGATAGGGTCTCACTGTATCACTGAGGCTGGCCTTGAACTTCTGGACTTGAGATCCTGCCGCCTCGGCCTCCTGGCTTGAGTGGCTGCAGGCAGCATTCTCTCTGAGTTTTTATGCAGTCGAACGTACCGACCCTTTTTCTTACGGCTCCTAGTACTGACTTGTGATTAAACAGAGTTTTCTCTGGACGCTATTTCATGGGTTTCATTTCCACAGTTCCCTCTGACTGAAATTAATTTCAACGCAGGTAACGAGACGGGTCTGGTTTTCTTCCCGCACAGATGGCTCTGCCCGGCTCACACAGGTGACCCCGCCCCGCCGTGCCTCTTGCTGTCTGTCCTGCCGTCCTGTCCAGCACTCCAGCACGCACAAAAGTGTTTTGATGAGTAAATTATACAGTTTCTCGATTTTAATGGTATTTATCAACGGACTCATTGTTCACCACTGACTTCAATATTCCTCTACGAAAGACTAAATTCTGGAGCCGGCCAAGTGCCGGGAGGCTGAGGCCTGCAGCCTGAGCAGCAGAGCCAGACCCCATCTCTAGGAAAAACAAAACCAACAACTAGCCGGGCGTGGTGACAGACACTGTGGTCCCAGCTACGGGGAGGCTGGGGCGGGAGGATCGCCTGAGCCCAGGAGTTGGAGGCTGCAGTGAGCTGTGATCACACCACTGGTCTCCAGCCTCAAAGACTCGAGTGCTCTAATTTTCTTTGAGACTTTCTTTTTGAATTGGGTTATCTCAAAATGTATCGTCTGATTTCCAAACATTTGGGGAATTAAAAAATATCTCTGGCACAGTGGCTCATGCCTGTAATCCCAGCAGTTTGGGTGGAGCCAAGGCAGGAAGATCACTTGAGCACAGGAGGGTAAGACCAGCATGGGCTACACAGCAAGACACAATCTCTACAAAAGAATAAAAAAATTAGACCCCGTAGTCAGTCCCAGCTACTCAGGAGACTGAGACTCCAGTGAGCTACGATCAGGCCACTGCACTCCAGCCCGGGCGACAGAGCAAGACCCCGTCTCTAACAAAAAACCCGGCAACTTTGTTATTCATTTCTAGTTCTCTTATTGTCAGAGAACATACTATGTATGATTTTCATTCTCTCCAACTTGCAAGCTTTCCTTTATGACCTTGGATTTTGTCCGTATTGATGAATGTCCCATGTACACGTAAGAAGCATGTGTTCTGTTGCTGGGCAGAGTATCTTAATGAGGTAGGTAGCGTTCACTGCTGGTCTTGCTCAGTGTCTCTGTATCTGTGCTTTTCTATTTGTTCTTTCAGTTACCTAGAGAGGAGTGGTGAGGTATCCAAATGTAAAGTGGATTTATCTATTTTTCCTTTAGTGCTATCAGTTTTTGCTTCATTTATGTGGAGGCTGTGTTGCACATTTAGGACGACTATGGCAGCTTCGGGAGAACCTGTGTCGCTATGCAGCGTCCTCCTTTGTGCTTGGTACCTTTCCTTATCCTGAAGTTGGCTTTGTATTAACATAGCTACTCTGACTTTTTGGTGTGCTTGCATGATATATCTTTTGCCATCGTTTCACTTTTAACCTATTTAAAAAAAAAAAAAAAGCCACCAGGCGTGGTGGCTCACGCCTGTAATCCTAGCACTCTGGGAGGCCGAGGCAGGCGGATTGCTCAGGGTCAGGAGTTCGAAACCAACCTGAGCAAGAGCAAGACCCCGTCTCTACTATAAATAGAAAGAAATTAATTGGACAACTAATGTATATATAGAAAAAATTAGCCAGGCATGGTGGCTCATGCCTGTAGTCCCAGCTACTCGGGAGGCTGAGGCAGGAGGATTGCTTGAGCCCAGGAGTTGGAGGTTGCTGTGAGCTAGGCTGATGCCACGGCACTCTAGCCTGGGCAACAAAGCAAGACTCTGTCTCAAAGAAAAAAAAAACCTCTTAGAGATGGGATCTCACGACGTTTCTCAGGCTGGACTTGAACTCACGGGCTCAAGTGATCCTCCTATGTGACACTGCACCTGGCTCTGTGCCTTTTTTTTTTTTTTTTTTGAGACAGAGTCTTACTGTATCACCTGGCTAGACTGCAGTGGTGTGATATCATAGCTCACTGTAACCTCAAACTCCTGACCTCAAGTGATCCTCCCGCCTCAGCCTCCCGAGTAGCTGGAACCACAGGCGTGTGCCACCATGCCCGGCTAATTTTTTCTATATATTTTAGTCGGCCAATTAATTTCTATCTATTTTTAGTAGAGACGGGGTCTTGCTCTTGCTCAGGCTGGTTTCGAACTCCTG